AGGGCAGGAAATTCTCAGTGAAGTGGATATAACTCATGTGCAGGAAGATTTATTTAAGCAATTCAGTCTTAGAAACCAAAGGAAGCAAAAGCAGAAAGGTGCCACTGGCCTTGCATTGTAGTCAGCTGCTGTATGTATTCATTTTTAGCCTGGTGTGAAGAGAGTGCAACTCTAGTCATCTTATTGGAGATTCATATGGTTACCAAAAAAAAAAAACCAAACCAAACAAAAAAAAAACCAACAACAAAAAACAACAAAAACGCAGATTGGATAATACTTATTGTGTAAAAAGAACCTTAGCATACTAAAGCAATGATTTAAGGGACTCCCTATCAGGACAAATCAGAGGGTCTTTGCCATCCCGTTAATTACTGCCTCGTCAGTAAATCTGAGCAGTGCTCCTCCCCTCCGTGGTTGCAGCAAGGGAGCTGAGTTGCTGATTCAGCACTGTGCACCTGCAGAGCTCTTAACCCGTGCGTTGGTCCTGAAACCCAGAGCTTATACAAAACCTTTTGCACATCTATGGACCCTGAGTTTTACCTTATAAGAGTGTACTCAGATAACTGCATGGAATATAATTGAGTCTGAGTGGCTCTTGTGCTCTAACCTAGTACTTAAACACGTGCTTCAACTTAATTGCCTTAGAAATTAATACCAGGATGGTACAAGTCACTCTGATGTATTCTTGCCACAGGTTTTCTGCCTTCCTTCCCTCCAGACCAATGCTATCTTTGGCTTCTTGTCTAGGCTTTATACAGAACTTCAGAACAGCATGACAATGCTCAGCCATGCAGAAAACCCAGGCAGGTTAGAAGGGGACTGTGAAGAAGATATGGCATGGCTTTTGGATGACCTTCCTGGCCAAGGCAGGTATTGAAGAGAGGTGCTTCATTGCTGGACTTGGTGGGTAGACTGGAGTACCTTGCTGGGAAGTGTCCCTCATTCCTCTGAGCCATGTTGACACAGGGAAGGGAGAGCAGTTTGATGGGTATTAAGCTGTTGATGCTGTGAAGTAAGGTAAGTGGCAAAATTCCATTCAAGCATACTGGAAAGAATATGGGCTGGAGTGGAAAAGACCTTAACTGAGTAAAGACAGTTTTTGGAGAGTAAAATATTGGAAAGTTGCAACCTGGACCAGTAACAGGGATTTCACCTCTTTCTAGGTGTACAGTAATTGCCAGGGACTGTGGAAAAGACCCTGAGGTACTTACCAATCCCAGGATAACTAAAACCATCAGTGCCATATGGGTGTGATAAAAGACCCCGTAAGTGCAGTGTGGAGCTAGCGGCTATTCAGACAGGGAAGGCAGAAGGCACTGTGGAGACCCTACTGCACCCTAGGGTGCAGAAACAAATGTCTGCTTCTGGAAATCAAATGTGCACAAAGAGAGAAGGGGAACAAGCTCAGACAATGCAGAACTTATTACAGAGTCTAAAAGGGCTGTGGTCATTCAGACAGCTGAGTCTGCATAAGCAAGTAAATATCAGAGAAACAAATAAATCAACTATTAAACTGAACAATATTACTATAGGAACAATTAGGTATAAGCTGTTCATTTATTTTTCAAGTTGTGAATCAAAAGTTCTTAACAACCAGTAAAGGGGAGGGATCTTGACACGGGCTCTCAGTGGTGGAGTGGAGTGAGATTCCCTACGGGCTCGGGACCAGCGCTCGATGCGGAGGTGGGTCTGTGAGGGTTTGCCTGTGGTGGCAAGCGGTCAGACTCCATGGCCTGGAAGGTCCCTTTCCTCCAGTATTACTAGGAAGGAAATGATGAGAAAGGGAATTTTTTACTACTGTTATTAATAGACTGGAAATAGCTATAAATTAATCCAGTTTAGGTGGCAAGCAGTTATCTTAAACCTGTGTGACTTCCACATCTGTGACAAAAGTTACTTAACACCAGCCTGCATCCCCTGTTTGTTTCCCCTGCCCCCGTGTTGTACACTAAGAGGATCCGATGACTTTTGGCCACTGATTACGTCTGGATGAAGTCTCAGCATTTTGGCTATCTCTGGTTTATTTTCTTACTCAGGGTGAGCAGCATTTCCAATCTGGCTGCCCAGAGCCACAGACGGTCGGCGCCAGCCCCGAAATGTCTCCCCGAACCCCCCGAGAAAAAGCACAGCCCGCACCCGCGTTTATTCCACGCAGCAGGTCAGTCAGCAACGGCAGCCGGCCGCTACGCGGCCCGGAGCCCACAGCCCGGGGCGCGGCCGCGCGGGACTTCAGTTCCCGGCAGGCCCCGCGCCCACCGGGGCGGGGCGCGAGCGGCCGCCGGCCGTTACCGCCGCCTCGCGCCCCGAGCGGCTGAGGGGCGGTGCGGCCCGGGGCAGGCGGGTTGAGTTGGCGAAGCAATAGGCGGTTCGTACACGGATATAATCCATGAGACTAGTTTATGCAGAGGAGCTTTCCTAGCTTCCCTCAAGGTGAAATCACACAAGTCCTTCGTTGTTTTCTCACGTAACTTTCCCTATCAACACGTTTAGCCGTGTTTTTACCCAGAACGTTGGAATAACAAAGGTTTAAAGGGCTTTGTTTTGCTCTGGGGGAGTTGAAGTTTGGTACCCGCTGAACAGCTAACGGGATGCTACGCTCTCCTTTGCCACATGCACGGTGCATTTTGCTTTCACTTCCAGGGACAACTAGTAGCTTTTCAGTAGAATACCTGCATTTTCCAATACCCAGAAAACAGGGTCAACTGGTGTACAATATCTACGCTGACGTCTGCATGTTTCTCCTTGTGTAACAGCCAAAGTTCAGACACACACAGGGCTGACCCATTAACATGGATCTACCAACCCCGGTCTTGCTCTGTTCCCTACATGGCCTGGAAACATTTTTTGCCAGAAGAGGGATGCAAATAGACAAACAAGAGCCTAATTCACTTTTCTGCTTTGTCTCCCTCCAGACATAATCTCTTTTTAATTAAATTACCCCAGTGAATGAAAATACAAACCACACATCATATTCCACATTGAATTTTTTCATAGCCTGTTTTCTTAAAATTCCTCTCCCTGCTTTTCAAGGTCTTTTAGATGGAACGCACACAGTGTGTGAGCCTCACTTCCAATACTCTAAGGATTAATTGAAGAGCATGATGGAAGGAAGAAGAGTGTGAGTAAAATAGCTGGTTTATATTTGTATCCTCAAATGTCAGTTCATTACCAAAGTTAGAAACCAGCTGATGCAAAAAACTCATTATGGCCTCATTTAGAATGCTTTTTCCTTGAGAGACAAAAAAGAATTGCATTGCACGGCTTGTCCAACACACATATGCCACGTTTTACAGTACACTTTGGGATGAGAAGTAAAGAGGGTTTTCTTTAGGGTGCAGTATGTTTAATACTCTATTTGTTTATCTGCATTTATTTAAAATCCAAAGCAGTGAGGACTCCCACTAGTCCCCATTCTCAATGCTTTTACCAACACTCAAGTCCCATTATTTGCATAGGTTTTGCGAGCTTTGGTTATTTATTTGACAGCGTGAAAGTCAGGCAAAATTAAATGGTTGGGGAAGTCACATCCACAGCCCTTTGCTCAGAAGTGCCCCTTCCCTGTGATTTTAGTGCTTGTGGCTGTGTCCAGACAGCAGTGAGGCAGCTTGGATCTCTGTTCACAGGTGCAGCCGAGATGCAGTGAGCTGCTGCTGGGAGACAGACGTGCGGTGCCTGGGCCAGCCCCACGCCCGCACTGCCGGCTCCATCAGTGCGGGCTTGGGGCACTTGTGTCACACAGCTGTGACTCGCTCTGCAGAAATCAGGCTGAAGCCACCAGTTGGTTCTGTATAAACCCCTAGGTAGCTTGGAACGTCCCCCTTGTCTTGCGGAGAACAGTGAGGGTGTGATTTGAGTGGTCTGACCCAGAAGGAAATTCTGCAAGTAAAACATCCCACAAATTTGTACTAACCCAGACTGTTAAGGATGGTCAAAAGGTCACAGCATCTGCGCTGCGGCTGGGACACAGCCCTGGTGCAGAAGGGAAGCCTGCAGAGGCTGTGGGGGGGCTGGGGAGTGGGCAGGCTGTGCTGGATGGTTGGTGTTGCTTGTGTTGTTTCCTCAGCGCCAACAGCCCGTCATCCATGTAACGCATATATGCCATTAGAGAACAGCTAAATCAAGGGAAATGTGGACAAATAAATTAAAAATTAGTGTAACGAATGAAAAAAAAAAAAAAAAAGTACAATTGCTGGAGAAACTTGCCAACGTTTGTATTGCTCTCTGTGGGCAACATTTTATTGCCAGTGGGCCAGACTTAGTCGTTGGTAGACACTCTGAGTTGTACCTGACTGTACAGCAAATCCCATGGGTATCTGTGAGTCTCCCTGTGAAATAAGGTGCGGCACTTACACGAGTAGGAGACGTACCCGTTCACAGGAATCGCTGTCTCCATCCCCTCTCTTGCCTGGGTCCCAGGGGTGGCACGGCGGCGGTGGCACGAAGCTGTCCTTCGGCACTCCCGTCACCCTGAGCCCGCCGCCACTCCAGTTCCAGAAAACAGCCAAGTGTCTGCTACTCACCTGCGAGCTGATGATCTCTCTCTAGAAAATAATTTTATGCAACTTTACCAATTTTCTGAGGTTTGGCTGTTCCCGCTTCCCACCTTGCATAAAATTTCCTCGGCTCAGTCCCGCATCCTTCAAACACTATCTGCAGCGTTTCTCCCTTTCCCCCACCTCACTCCCACCGTTCCTGCACCCACCCCGTTTAGCCGGAGTAGAAACGCTCCGGTCACGAACCTGGCCCCCCGTGCCCCTCTCCGCCCGGGCGCCGCGGAGGCGTTTCAGCCGCCCGTGCCGGCAGCCCTGCCCGCAGCCGCCCCGCAGGTAAGCGCTGCCGGCGGGACCCCGCTCCCCGAGCCTCCGCGGTGCGGCCGCCGGCGAGGACGCGGGGTTGCGGCGGGCCGCCCCGCGCCCCCTGACAGAGCCGGGGTCGGCGCGGCGCTGCGCCTTTAAAACGGCCGCCATGACGCGGGCGGCGGTTGGTGCGGGCCGTGTGTGGCGGCCGCGTCACGCGGGCCGGGAGCCAGGCGGGGCGGCTGCCCGGTGTCAAACTGAGCCGCCTCAGAGCGCCCCGCTGCCGGCGGGGGGGGCGTGGAGCCGGGGGCTCCGCCGCTCCGGAGCACCCTGTAGCAATGCTTTGGTTTAGTTGCTCGTAGGTAGGTTTTTCTGTATTACTTCCCCCCCCCCCATTCTTCCCTCTCCCCACCCCCCATCCCCCCCGGCCAAAAAATGACAATGTGGTGCAGTGCTGCTTGGCGAACGGTTTTGGAGATGCTTGTAAAATGGTGAACGCGTGTCACACAGTCCCGGCGGAGCCGTCCCTTCGCCCGCCGCGGGGAAGGGGAGCCCCGGGAGCCCCCCCGGCGGCTGCGGGCTCCGCGGGAGGTGCCCTGCCCCGAGCCCGGGGCGGCTGCCGGGTCCTGCGCGGCCGGGGCCGGGGGATCTTCTGCAGATGGGCTGGTGCGGTTGTCGTTTTGCAGTCACCTCAGGTGAACCAAGAAGTGATTTGAGGGAATGCGTTGAGTTATTTGGTTAGCAGTGCAGGAAGAAGCTTCTTTTTGATTAGTTTTTTACTGTTTCTTGGTGCTTTGCGTGCTGCTAGCTGTATAATAAAGGGTCTTTTTTTTTTTTTTTTTTTTTTAAACAGCAGTATTAATTGCTATCCTCTATTTTTAGAAAGTTTTAGCTGAAGAGTGTAATTTCCCTATTCTGTACTTCTAGAGCTCTGTGACATTTCACAGGCATCCATTAATGCTACAGCAAGAACATCCTGAGTCCTTGGTCAGTTCTGAAATAGAAATGGTTTACTTGAGAACAGAAAGAAAAGGCTCCGGTCATTTCTGCATGGTAGATGCAGTGGTGGAAAAAGCTGTGTGGTGAAAGTACTCCATCATGCTGTGAGGAGGGAAACAAACTGGATTTTCTCCTGTGTCCTTCGTATGCTCCTTTTCAGAGTTCAGTATACTATACCTATAAAAGAAGCTGTGCTAGTGCAGGAGGATGGTCTTACGGATAAGATGCAGATTTAGGCCTCGGGAGTTTGGCACTCAATTAGTAACTCTGCTTACCAGCTTTATGTTTGAGATGGGTGTAAGACACTTTGTGCTCATCTGTATCCCAGATTCTCCATTTGTAAAACAAGGCTGTGGATTTTAAAACCTCTGTTTGGATCCTCTGTATAGCAGGATGACTGAAGGCATAATAAGCTCTCTTGAAATCTAGCTATATGTTGCAGGTCACTTTCTATGTGTATGAATATATAATTTGATCAAAATTTTATTAGTTTCAAAAAGGGATCAAATGTAACATTACCTTCCTTGTTTTTCAGGCATAAAGAGTTTATTGTGTTTGAAGCACGGGTCAACTTTTCTTAGTTCATTAGCTATTTTCTACTTTATCAGGCTTCTGAGGAAAGCAGTCTTTGGCAGCACCTTTGCTCTCAGGTGGAAACATGGTTGTGTCCCTGTAGAATGCTGCTTTTTGTTACATTATGTTGCTTTTTTCATACTACCAATAATTAAACACAGCTTTTTTCCCCCCTATTGATCAGTTGCTGAAGTAAAAGAAACCTCTATCCTCCCCATGCTAACTGTTGACATGGAAAACAAGGAAAATGGCTCTCTGGATGTCAAAAAGTAAGTGAATCCATAGTGTTCAGTTTATGTAAACAGCACATGGATTTTGATTGTAGTTTGACTTAATGCTGTTGGCAATGGTGGGCACCTCCATCTTTGCTCATTTCAAACCTTCCCTGTTCTCAATTACTTTTACTGTATTTTAGCATCAATATAGAAGAGTCTCGGGCACTGAATCGATTAAAAGTGATACATGGGAGGACTGTATATCAATGGAGAGATGTAGGAGCTAGTAACTTAATTTAGGGGTATACTCTTCTCCACTGATGTTTCCTCTCAACCAGAAACTAAAGCCAAGCGGTAACCAATACTGTACCTCTGCTCACATGTCTGCTGGTGGCTTTTGCAGTACTGGTGTCTGATGGAGAGAAGTGACCTGTGTAGAAGTCTTCTCTCTGTCTCATTCAGAGACACATACGCCCTTCTCTGCTGACTGCCCAGCCATCTAAAGCTGAGAAGTAGTAGCAGCAGCATGTGTTTGGTATCAGTTCTCTTCTGGAACAGATACTTTGTTTGCTGGAGAAGCCCTAAACTGCTGAGCTTTTACTTCAGACCTAGGTCAGGAATAGGACAGAGAAATGGTGTGCACTGCTCTACAATTTTCTGTAGTGTGGTGGACTGCAGGCTAAAGGATAGGAACTGTTTTGGAGACATTTTTGTATCCTCACATGTAAGCAATTCTTAGATTAGGACCATCAATTCTGAATGAAGTTATGATCTGAGAAGTGGAGTTCTGTTTGGAAAAATCTGGCCTTGTTGCTTTAGGGTTATAGAAGCCATGCTGAGATAGATATATATACACATATAGATATATTAAAAAAAAAAAACAAAACAAAACAAACAAACACCAAACAAACCCAAAACAAAACAAAAGAACAAACAAAAAAACCCAAACAAAACCCAAAACAGAACAAAACCCAAATAAAATTGCTAGAGAGAGTTCTTAGTCTGTCCTCTCAAACTGCAACACTTCTGCAAAGGTACACCTCATTCTTCTCTTTCAGATATCTTTTCTATAAGTCTTCCAAGAAAACTTGACAATACTTAGGCTCCCAGGCACTGGACTAATATAAATAATAATAATAATAATGGTAATTTCAGGATGCTGATAAAACATCTGATTCTAACACAGCATCAGAAGATCTGATGGCAGCCATTAAAATCAGCATGGTCCCCCTTCACTTGAGACATTGGTTATACCACACCAACATAAAATGCATTTTCCTTTTCAGTGCCTGAATAGATTATATCATGTATGTCCCTCAGAAGCCACCTTCAGTAGGCAGTCTTGCTTCTACAGTGAGGGCTCTGTGGTGGGAGGAGAAAGGAGGCAGTCAAAGCAAGGACAGCTTATGTGTAATCATTTTCCACTGAGGCTTAGGTGATAAAGGTTCAACTACTAATTATGAAGGTGGCTTTTTAAAACTGATGGGGATTTTAATTAAACTGCTCAGGAGCTATGGTTTCTAAATGAATGTATACAATATGTATGAGTGTGTATCTATAAAGGAAGTATTTGGCACTTACTTGAAGTGGTTTTAAATAGCTTGGATAAAATCTGTTTGTTCACAGCTATATCCTTTCAGGCCTTGATGCTTCTACCACATGATGGCAATAAAGGCACAGGGACAGGGGTGAAAAGCAGACAAGCCTAATCTTTATTCATTATCAGTGCATCTAGTACCTCCTTACAAGCCTAAAATACCAGTCCTCTTAAGATTTTACAGCATCCAGGATGTCTGGCATGAACCAGTGTATGGCTAAGCCATGACTGTTATATATTCCGTTTTCTTGTCTAAGGAATAGAGCTGTGTGCAACAGCAGGGCAAGGAGGAGACTGCTAAAGTCTAGAAGCCAAATGAGCATCTGTGTGAGTAGATGGGTTAAAATCCAGCCAGCCTCCAACAGTCTGACACATGCCTTTGAGTCTTTTGCAGCTGTAACTGTGCAAATTGGCTCCTCTTGAGGTCCAGCATGATGCTATTCCTTGAGGCAGGAACTTGCAATTATTTCCTGTCATTAGTTAATGACTAAGGTAGAGCCCCTGAAGTCATTGCAGTTGAGCCTGGGATGGGGCAGGGCCAAACTGTAGTTTCCTAGCAGAAGAAGAGCTACATGAAGAACTAACATACCTGGGCTGAAATACAGAACTGTGGGAAGGAGGGTTTGGGACCATATTTAGTTTGAAATTAAAGTGTTTTGGGAAGTAAGCAAAATACAGTTAGGAGGTATTTTTACAGATTGAATATTTTATTTGCTGTTTAGGAGGAATTAAATATTTTCTAGGATTTATTATGTTTTGGGTTTTTTTTTTTAAATACTAAGTTGTTGGAGTTTTATTTATTCTTAATTTTAAGTAGAAGATGCGTCATTGAAAGTGATTGTGTCTTAGGGAAAATGCAAATATTCAAGTATCATTCTTCAAATGCTGCTTTCACAAATACATGTAGGTTTTGCGTGGCGCTTTGCACATTTTACTACTTAAGTCTCAGAATGTGTACAACACCAAAAATCTTAACTGAAAGACATCACCTGATTTAGAAAAAAAAAAAAAAAAGTGCAGCTCTGATAAGGCCAGATAGTCTCGTTTTCAACTTTGCTGAGTGTTGCTTTTCTGTGTAATCACAATCAGTGAAGTAATTCACAAAGTCAGTTGTTACTTGATGAACAAAAGTAAGAAACTCTGGCCCTTTGCTCATTGCTCTGAGATACGTGTATATTCCATGTGATAAGTGAAAGAAACTGCTTTTAGAAGGACAAATGCAACATACAGTGTGAGATCAAGGTTGCAGTGTGAGTCCCTAGGGCCAGAGTTTTGTTGCCATGTTGACAGGTACATTCTAAGAGCTAGGGGAGAAGCAAAAATTACTGTATTCGTGAGTACTCCTTCCCAGGGTTCAGCTAGTTGCAGAAATTGGAATGTTGTAGAAACAGTGATGGGAGGCATTGTATGTGATTCTGCTCTTTTTATGGCTGGTTGGAAAAATGGTTGGCCCTTGATTCACTCAGTTATTTTGCTGAAAGACATACAGGTCTAGGCAAGACAGAGGTGGTGGCGGTTAGAAAACAAAACTTTGAAGGACAGAGCAAAAATGCTGTCAGGAGAGTATAATCTCTATTTCTTTTCTAGCTGGTGCTGTTGAAAATCAAAGTCCTGCCTCTTAAGCTTCAGGACCTGAAATGGACAGGATTCTGACATCTGCCCTGATCTGTACATTTTTGATACTTCTTCATTAGCATTATGGTTAAGCATGCAGAACTGTGGAAAACGTCTGGTGTGAACTTTGGAAGTTCTAATTGGAAAACCATGTTAAAGCTCTTTCTTTTGATGTCTTCCTCTTCATCCTCCTAAATTTCTATAGGAAAGGCAATCAAGTTCACTATGTGTCTTTTTTACCAAGAGTTTGCAGGTACACAAAAGCTATCTGAGATAGAGTGATGGCAGGCTGAGGACAAGAAATCCAGGATAAGGATAGTAATATGAATGATTGGTTGGTTTTGCTACTGTGGAAAGCAGTTGCTCAAGGTCAGCCAATCACAGAAGGAATTTATTCTGACTGCGTTTAACAGATATTTTCTCGGATTCATACCTATTTTAAAAGTCCAAAGATGAGTCCAAAAGCAGTTGTGGGAAACTTTCCATATTGAGCAATTAGTGAAATCATTGGTGCCTCTTTTTTTTGTTTTACAAGGTAAAGATGGTTTCCAGTAGTTTATACCCATGTTACAAGGAAGCACAGTCTCATCTGGGAAAAGAATAATCCACATACTGCAATTCTTTATATGTACCTGGTAGCTGAAAACAAGCTGCAGTCTTGAAAGAGGATTTGGTACCTCAGTCATGGTTGTCTTTGTTCTCCAACTGCAGAAGCAGCACACTTGCAGGAAAAGATCCTAACTGATTACCTTTGGATGATGTGAGGATTCATATGCTTTCTTCTTTTCTGAAGGGAGAGGTGCCTCAGTTGTCCCCAGCATCAGGTCTTTGAAATGGAAGAGAACAGGAGTGACTATGCTGTACTGGGGTGGGAGGAGGTGTGTCAAAGGATACTTTTCCTGGAGGAACAAGGAGGGAGGGGATGTACATGAGATGTGGACAAAGCAGCAGCAGACAGTGCAGACATTTAGTGATTACTTGTCTCTGGATTTGCACTTTGCAGTTCAGTAGAGAATGGGAGACCTCCAGATCCTGCTGACTGGGCTGTTATCGATGTTGTGAATTATTTCAGAACAGCTGGATTTGAAGAACAAGCCAGTGCTTTTCAAGAACAGGTAAATCTGTTAGGAAACACCTTTTGACTGCCACCAGTTTCTCACATTGCACATTTTTGCCATGGACCCAGTTATATGCTGTTAAATGGGAGTGAAAATCACACATTAATGGAGGGATCTGGGTGTGTTACTGGGTGGAAATCCATGGGACTATGATCTTTGAGTAATAATATTGTTCTACAAGGTATGGATAACGGGTTGGAGTTTAAAACAGTCATCTGAAAGGTGAGGAATCTAACCACATTTTCTGGATTGGACTCAGTCTCCCTATACAACTCACTCAGTTTCACTGTCTTGTTACTTAAAATGTGAATGGTAGTTCCCTTCTTCCTTAGTGTATTGTGCAAATACACTCCTGAGTATTTATAAAATCCGGGGCTCCTATGAAACATGTTGCTTTTGAAGATCAGAGGTGAAAAAGGAGCTGCTGTGTTGCATTGAACTTGGCAGTGCAAGTGGACAGGGTAAGAATTTGGTAACAAGGAGAAGAATTTTTTAAGGCACAGGAGCAGCATATTTGTAGGACTCAGCCTGAGAAAGAGATTGGGTCTTAATTTCTGGGCCTTGTAACTGCTGATGCTGATGGGTGGCTTCTTTTGGTAGATTTGATCAGCAAAGACCTTAACACCTATTGGCACACTGGTAGGGTGTATTAGTGGGGCAAGATAGGGAGGTTGGGTTACTTGGCCTACAGCCCACCTGTTCTGTAGAGAAGGAACTTAGGGCCACGAAGATGATCAGGGGGCTGGAGCATCTCTCCTATGACAACAGGCTGAGAGTGTTAGGGGTGTTCAGCTTGGAGAAGAGAAGCCTCCAGGGAGACCTTATAGCAGCCTTCCAGTGCTTAAAGGGGGCTACAGGAAAGATGGGGAGGGATTCTTTATTAGGGAGTGTAGTCATAGGATGAGAGGTAACATTTTTAAACTGAAAGAGGGTAGATCTAGATTAGGTATAAGGAAGAAATTCTTTACTGTGAGGATGGTTAAACACTGGCACAGGTTGCCCAGAGAAGCTGTGGCTGCCCCCTCCCTGGAAGTGTTCAGGGCCAAGCTGGATGGGACTTTGAGCAACCTGATCTAGTGGCCCCCATGGCAGGGAGGTTGGAACTAGATGATCTTTAAGGTCCCTTCCAACCCAAACCATTTTGTGATTCTATGAACTTACGTCTCCAGATCATCATTTCAGCACCTTCCCTGACAAGTCTATAGGTTTGCATGCAACTACCATGAAATTAAGTTACCAACACTTGTTTTTAGTTATCAAAATGGATGGCTTGATCTTCCAAGGCACTGAGCTAGTGCAAGTTCTTGTCATTTTGCAGGGAAACTGTACATCTAATGTGAAATAACATTACTGTTGGTCAGGTTAATCTTGCTGACCTTCAGCACCTGGACAGTGAAATCCCATCTGATTGTAATTGATGATAATAACAGAGTATCTAAATTTAGCTCTTTGTTCTTGGGAGTGAAAAGTCTGGTGTTGGGTAATTCTCTGGTAGGGTGCAGAGAGAAGCTCTTTCTGCAGCTGCAACTAATTTTTCAGAATTTGAAGATGGGTAAACAGGCAAAGAAACTTGTTTAAGTATATCCATTTTTTAATACCAGCATCCATGTTTCCCCAACAGCCCTGGAAATGTGACTTAAAAAAAACACACAGGCAAAGTAATTGTGGCCTCTGGGTTTTTTTCCTTATACTGACAGATACCTCTGATCAAATATCTTAACCTCTTGGCACCTCAGCTGGCTTGTCAATAATACTGCAGTAATTACTACTGATCTTGCAGCAGCAAGGTGAGGCTAGCTCATGAGTTTTGGCAAAGCAATTTGCAATTTTGCAATTTCCTGGTGGAAAGCAGTATAGAAGTAGAGTGTAAAGGTTTTATTAGTATTCTGCAATGAGGGCAAATGGCTTCATGAGGATAGCTGAAGTAAGCTGCTTTTTAGCAGTGTGTTGCCAGGGATCTGCTAGGATAGCCATGGGCAGAAATGTGGCTATGATTCCACTGCCAACTTTACTTTATGCCAATGCCTTGGAGAGAGAGGCTGACAGCTGCCACCAGGATGCAGCCAGGAGATGTGGGAAGGACACTCACAGCCGAAGTCATTGCCTCTCTGTTTCCTTAGCAGCATGAGGAGCATCAGGTGCCTGGTTCTCCATGCCAGCTCCGCCAGCCCATTCGCTGCCTGCATCAGGAACAGCCCCAGGAGCAACCTTGTCCTAAACCTCTTACCAGCAGTGGCGTTCTGTTTCTTCTACACTGTTTACTAGCCACTGACTTTAACTCTGTGTAGTTATGGTATTTGTTATCAGGATCTCCCAGGTCTTCCAGGTATGGCAGTGCAGTCAGGTTCACTTTGAATACTTAGCCATCCTCTGTCTATAGAGTCACCAGGCATGCAGCTGAAGCTCTAGCCGTCTCCGTTTTTCTCTGCCATTTGTACTACAGCTTACCTGGGCCACAGAAACCTAAATTAATTTGATCCGCTACTGCCTTGAATATGTACAACTGAAGTTGTAGATGGTAAAGGAAAGTATTCTGTTTCACCTACAACACTGGGAAATTGTTTTCCACTGAACTGCTTCAGTAGAGGTAGCACAATGATTTCCTTACAAAACAGTCATAGCCCAGAATGTAACCATGAGACCTATTATTACATTCAGCTTTTACACAACAGTAACTGAGCCACGCTTTCTTTTGATGAATGTGAATACATCTGGACTCACCCAAAGAAAATGACTCAAAAGAATTTTTAAGACCTGAATTTTTCTTACAACATTTTGAGAAAAATGAGAAGACATTTTAAGGACTGCGGAATGTTTTATTAAAACTGTATTTTAAGTGCTGGTAAGAAGTGATGATTGTATGATGATTATACGTTATTCCTTCTTGGAGTTCCACTGATGTCAGCAAGTCAAAAGAGCTCACTGATGAAAACAGATTCAACTGAAAGATGTTGCCCAATACCAAAAAAACATAACATCAAGCAAATCAGACAAGCCAAGAAGTTGAGGTCACGGGATAACTAAAGAGAGAGGCAGACCAGATGCAGGATGAGGGTGACCTTCAAAGAACTGCTGCCTGCTAGTACATGGCTGAGCTTTCTTTGGGAGCCCTAGGAGCACAGGGGGCTGTGGCCCACTCCAATTGCCATGTCTCAAGACATGCTAGTGTTATGCCTGACCTTCGTTATTGCCCATGCGGCCCAAGTAACCCAGTGGTAGTTTGCTGGCCTCACTGCAGTGCCTTACCAGAAGGGAAGCTGGGGTTTGATGCTAGCTTGTGTCCACTGCTGCTTTCTAGCAGAGCCATGGCATGGAGGAACATGTGAGTGTGCTGGCTGCCATGCTTTTCTGTCAGCTGTACTGTAAAACCTTGCAGTTTGCAGTCACTTGGAGAATGAGCAGAAAGAGTGCTGGGGGGACTTGAAGCTTCACCGGTCCTCTTGTTATTTGCTGAAGACAATGTGCTATTTCTGCTGAGGTCATCATGGCACAGTGGGGAATTACTGTTAGATCTAATTGTGCAGGGGGTGCCTCTGCAGATGGCATTAAAAAAGCATACCAAAAGGTGGCATTGAAGTTGCTTCCTGAAAAAAAATCCAGAAAATACAGAAGTAGCAGAGAAGAAATTCAGAGAAGTCACCAAAGCACACAAAATCTTACCTGGTGCCAGAAAACAGAATGACTATGACAAACGTACAGAAGCAGGTTTAAGTGGAAAACTAAAAAGAAGTCAAAGAGGTAAACCTTACAGTACACAAAAAGATATAAAATACTTTATTCTGAACACGTAATCACTCATTTCTACCCAGATATATTTAGAGAACAGGTTTTCTATTCAGTGAAAGCCTCAGTAGTTACCAGCATTTCTAGAGTCCACAGGGAACCCTGTGGAAGAAGAAGGGAAAGGAATAGATGCTTTTTTCCTGTTCTTGGAGTTTCTCCTGTTCCAGGTACTGGACTTACTTCATTTGGATCCTACCAAGATGGAGGCTGTTCTTCCTCCATAGCATCGTTGAACAGCAGCAGAAAAGGCAACTTCAGATCGGTCATAGCAATGAGCAAAATACTCACTGGTGTCAAAATTCCCACAGAATGAATTGTGACGAATGGAAAAGAGGATAGAAACTGGTTTTAACCATTAAGATTCTCAACAGTAATTGGAAAGAGGCACCTGCTATAATTGGGTAAAAAGTTATTAGAAACTTTTTTTTCTTTTAGCAATATTGTTACATTGTGCTCCTCTGAGGGATTAGCAGTCATATCTCTTGGAGAGATTTTAAATTCCACTTTCAGCTGAGCTTTGACTATGTAGTGGTTTGTCCATGTATTTTGTATTTATAAACTTTATCAAATCATGAGAGAGGTCAGTCTGGACAAATTCATGCTGAATTCTCATCTAAGTCTTCCTCTTTTCACATTGACTTTTAATCAAGGATGGGATCTCTGACATTTTCAAGACAACATTTAATGTTTCAAAGGAAGGTGCTGCAGTGGGATAAATTGATGTGTGATGTTTAATATTCATAAAAATGCAAAATTTTGGCAATGTATTATCATGGACAACAATAATATATGCAAGCATTTGAACTGGTTGTTGGCTATTGATAACAGATTCAACAGCTAATAGTGTTTTGGGGTGCTTTATTAAAAGTAAAAAAGAAAGCAACAGCAAAGTGAAGTCCAGTGCAGGGGAATGCCATAAGACTATACTTCTTTGGGCTACGATGACCTTGGGAGGTCTTGCTGTGTTGTGAGACACCAGTCAATGCATTGTTTTGTACCTGTAGTTCCTGTTCCTAAGCAGTGCAGTGTGATTGAGGTGTGGGAATGTATAAAGAAAAGCACCGTCCCATGTCTAAAATAGAGATGGGAGTTGAGAGATGTGGATTCTTTCTCTTCCATTTTGATGTTTGAAAAATCATTTACAGGTAGTTCTCAAACGTGCAACAAGGTTTTGAGGTGGGAAAAACCCCAAAGCCTACAGGATTTCTAATCTAGGTCAGAAAGCCAAGGTTTGAGAGGAGAAAAAAAAAAAAAAAAAACAAAAAAACCCAAACCAACATATCTATGATTTAAAAATGGGACTTTTAAGCAGGAACAACTAGAAGTTGTTGAGATCTAAGCTGGGAAGTTGCTACTTTTAGCCTCTTCTGTTGTAAATGGAGGAAGAGAAGTTCCCTCAGAGTGTTGAGCTCCACAGGTAGGCCGCTGAAAAATTTTTGATTGCAGGAGTCTTTTTCTTCCTCCCCCACCTCAGACACATGGGAAGGTTGGCCTTTTAAAGAAGGCACCTGAATTTATTAGCAGATGCTGACTAGTCCAAACTTGCATATTGCTGTCAATGGTAATTCTTCTGAAATGCACTTCATAAGTCATCTTCTTAAGAGTATCCTTCCCTTAATGGCTGATAATTAGGCAATCTGCACATGTACCTATTAATTTGAAACAGATTTACAAGGAGGGAATTTTGAAATTAGGCTCATCTGGGTTTTGTGCTTGACTAAGTAGTATTTTTGCCTTAGCACAGGTGAGCGCTTGAAAAGCAGACAGCAGAATTTAGCAGCTATAAACATAGTTTCAGGAAAATAAAGGCTACTATTTCTTTTCTCATTGATCCTCATTAGTAGTCTTCCATTTGTTGCATGACTGTTCTCATCTGTTAGATTTGTACATTTGTCTTTATCAACTCTTTAATTCTTCTTATAGGAAATTGATGGCAAATCATTACTGTTGATGACAAGAAATGATGTACTGACTGGACTTTCATTAAAACTGGGGCCTGCGCTGAAAATCTATGAATATCACGTAAAACCTCTACAGACACAACATCTAAAGAACAACTCTTTATAGCAAATTGTCTAATTGGGGTCATGTTGTGCCTCAAACAATAAATAAGCAATTTGGTTTCATGTGATGGAACTTTGTAAAGAGAGAATATATCTATTAAGAATTTAAACCAAATGACAATATATATCCTATTGGATAGAGTTGGCAATATACTATATACTGAGTCTGAAATGAGAGAGGTAGTGTGTATTTTTTAGGTAGTACATAATGATTTTCTCTTTTAGGAAGTGTCAATGAGCATGTTGAGATAACTACATCACTGTATCCAGAACAAATGGGAGGTATGTCATTCTCATTTTTGAGCCAGACATGTTCTTGATTTCATTAATTAAAATACCAAACACACCCCACCCCCACCCCCAAATAAAGTTTACATGCATCTTTGGGAGATAGAAACCAATTAAAGTAGGTTTTGGTTAACACTAAAGACCTACTAAAATTATTACTACTTATAATTTTAGGATGGGACTGACGCTTGCCAACTCACCCTTTTTTGCAGAGGGTCCTATTTTGACCTTATTAAGGTTTACTTGTGGTATGCTGCAATGTTTAAAGCTGTACATAAAACTAACATAACTCCTTCGATAGCAGAAGGTGTTGCTGACAGGTGAAACTGGGTTGTGTATTTTTTGCTGTCCTTTAAATTTTCAGCTTGTTTTCACCTGTTTTTAATAGTAGCTCTATGTAAAATATAGTTGGTTTTTAAAAGTTTGTGTTGCTTTGCAAAAAAAAAAGCTTCATTTTATTCCTTTTTTAATTTATGATAACTTGTTTTCTAGCATTATGCAGAAGTTTGTAAAAAGAGTAAAATTCTGCACATTTTTAATATTGTCTGTCATTGGTGTTGTAATGGTTCATTTTTTTTTTAATGCTTTACTTAACAGTTTGAATACTTATTTTAAAAACTGAAAGAAGCTGTCTTGTCACCATACATCTCTGTTAAAAGAGAGTCTTGTTCAATCTGTTTGTACCAGTTCCCTATTTGATAGGTTGCTTGCTATATCCCAATAAAGCATTGCTTCTGTTTGGATTCAGTTTACTTTACAGATATTTTACTTTCTCTGTTTCTTTGTTGTGGTATATTGGAGCTCCTGTTTTTCTTCATTTTCCCATTAAAAAGGTACCAAAACCTACTTAATATTCTATGTTCTTGTGCTTACTTTTAACAACACTTACCGAGATATTTAAAGATTTCATTATTTTTGCTGCTTCTTATCTAGTGTTACATACTGCTGAAGGAGAAGCCCTGGTCATAGTTCACCAGTAACATCTGTGCTTCTCTTTCCCCTTTCTAGAGCTGTCAGTGGTGCTGACCCTGGTACAGCAGGGTGATTTACCTCAGAATGCCTGGGAGATAGCCCACAGATGGTACTGTCTGGGCTCACCAGCTTCTCTGGCCCAGACAGCTTTGTGATGACCCCTGAAATTGGAACGTGGGGTTGCATCAGTGAGGGCGAACAAAGGAATTGGAAGTAGGAAATAAGCAGGAATGTGTGGTGAAAGTGGAAAGGGTGTGGGTGGAAATGGTGAGGGGGTGCAGCTGAGAAGGGAGAACGTAAGAAAGAGTGGTGCTTTCTGCCATGTGGGGACAGGATTCAGGGAGAGGAAGAAGCTCCTGTAGTCTCCCGCCTAGGCTGTGGGCCTGACTTGCCCAGGTGTGAGGTGACTTGATGCTACAGCGCTAGAGTTGCTTATGGTTTCTGGTGTTGAGGTTTGAGAAGGTATAAAGCCATGTTAATAGCTATGCTGTAGGTAAAGCTCACAGTGTATGGTATAATACATAGACTATATACAGCAGCATGCTTTCTTGTATACTTTCTAAGCTTTATATTGTACAGCATTTTTATGGAATTTGAGACACACAGTAGGAGACAGGGATGTATTCACCATTTCTCTTTCTGTCCCTGGTACTGTGCTCATTTCAAGTATTGGTCTGTTAGCAGCAGGTTTGTAAGTCACACTCTGAATTCTACTTATGATTTGATTTATAGTTTAGTAGTGTCCATAGAATACCTACTGGGAGTAGGGATCTTCTGCAACACTAGATTCAAATAGAGACCATCATCTCTGCCTTGGGGAGTTTTCAGGTACAGTCTGTATCAGGCTAATTACAGCCTGCAGCTGAAAAATTATACATGGAACTCCTAAATATTTTAATACAGAATTAGGTATGTTTATGAAAAGGATTATGTGAAGCAGCTGCGTGTAGCAGTCTGGAGATACCTACCAACCCTGTATTTGAAGAATTGTTGTTGGAGGAGAATACATAGTGCTGTTACTGAAGGATGAATTGAATATTCTCTCTTTCTCCATTTGCATGTTTAGTGTGGGATTGACACATTTTGCAGATCTACGGATGACAGAGAATTAAAAGTAAAACATATTTATTCTGTGAGGGAGTAAAAAATCTCCACTGTGCAGCCATGAGAGTGCATGTAGTGATTACTGAGCGCTGTTCATTCTTTTAATATGTTTTAATGAGTAAATGCATTGCATTCAGAAACATCCAGATTGTATTCCTCTTTTGATCACCACTGCTAACTGGTTCATACAAATAGAGGCCTAACAGAAAGCTCGCTGCAAGCATGAAAGGAAATGTGGAGGATGTTGCTCAGAACTGTAACATTTTTTTTTACCATCCCAGATTTTTATTGTAGTGTCCTACTGTTCTCTGAGCTTTCTAATGCTGCTGTTATCTTTGTGAGGGTGACCGTTCTGTTTTTGTCTGTTACATTCTCCTTACTGTTTCTGAGAGAACAAAAAAAAAATAAAATCTTTCTAAAAGAGACTGGAGGATTTGAAAGAGGAAGTCAAAGCCAGATTATTTTTAGCTACCATTCCTCTTGCAGAAAACACAGCTGCTTTTGAGATGAGGAAGCAACTGATGGGCATTACTGGATACCATGTCAGTATTGCAGTTCTAGGAGTCACAGAGCTATGTAGAATGCAGTTTATAACATGCCCTTATTGTGCCTGCGTCTGGGAGAGTCCCTCCTCCTTAAAAGCCCTCCCTGGGCTGTGGGTGGTGGTCAGGCTGCCAGGTGACAGACTGCTCAGCTGATACTGGGTGTGGGAGTGACAACGGTCTCCGTGCTGCAGGTCTTGATTACACTGAACCAGTAATTTAGAGTGGCCACCTCCTCCTAGAGGCGCCTTTAAGGAGCAAAGCAGCAGTCAGCTGCCTTGCCCTGCTGCTGGTCAGCACAAGAAGGAAGATGCGCTGCAGCCACAGTCCTCCTGTTCCCTGTCCCTCCTCTTACCCTTTTCATAATACCACTAACGCACATCTATTGGAGTCTTTCACAACACTTCTAAAAATGGTTTGAAAGCATTATAGCATGCCTTTTTTGGTGTGATGGTTGTGAAATATACATATTGGTATTGTTCATCAGCTCTGATATTTGCTCTTCTCTCAAGCTGTAGATACGCAATGCATAGCATGTTCTCTTTGCATCCAAATATAGTGCCAAGTACCATGTGTAAGGCAACTGCCGGCAAATTATGGAGGCTGTGACTGTGCCTGTACACAAAGGTCACTTTCTCAACCCAGTGAAAATTGTTTTGTCTGCTTGCTGATAAATTCCAGCCCTGTGTGTTATTCCCCTTAAAACAGTTTGCTCTAATGTGCTGCTCTTTATCAATTTGTTGAAAATTCTTCACTCCTGTAGTTACAGGACAAGACTTGGTAGCTGTAGTGAAGGGAGTAGCCACCTCTGGCTGGAAATGGTCTAGGCAAAATGTCACATTAAGCCCTTGCTGTCGGGGATTACTTGCTAAATGAACTCTTTTCTCTGCTTTTTTTCAACATGTTCAAATTCTACCAAGACCTTTACCGTTTTCTCTTTTTAAAAATCATCATTTAATTGGTCTATTATCAACACTCTTCTTTCCACTGTCACACTTAAGTTACAATCACAGTTATTTGAAAAGCAGAGGGTCTTACTTTCTGTGAGTCTGGGGGAAGCTACGACTTTATTTCTCATTTTTTTTTAATAGCAGTATTGTCTAAAATTTGAAGGTTGAGTCTTATCAGGACCAGAAAAATATTCTCACTGCCTCCATTCTGGCTATTCCAAGTCAAAGCAGTAGTTCCTTCCCTTCCGGGAATGGGTTTTAGCCCAAAAGTCATATGGGAAATTAATTGACTGTAAATGTGCATGTGAAGAGTGTAATGGTCACTGGCTCAGTAGGCAGCAGGATGCACGGAGCGGTATAGAGAAGGGTCCACTCTCTCACCTTCACCTTAGGGACAGTTTACCCAGGCAAGAGATTGGCTTCTGCTTCATTTAACAGAACGAGAGGACTTGGTGCTTGGGGATGTCAGCCAGGAGAGCCCATCCACATCCCATTCTGTCATACTGAAGGCCTCCATACACCTTCACCTCTGCATTGCTCAGTTTTGACAGCAGCTTCCCCCAAGGGAGGTGCAGAGGGCAGTGGCTGTCATTAGCCCCCTGGCAGCCTGCAAGGGCAGTCTCCATTGGAATAATGGGCAGACTGATTTAATAAGTAGCTTTCATTCCTGTTGGGAAAGGCTGCGTTCTTTTTAATATGATAATCCAACCCGGCCATTAAATTCTTTTTTTGCTTAGCCCCTGTAATTAGGGAATTTGTTGATTTAGTGATGTTCCTTTGGATCCCAGATGTGTATTTAACTTAATTCCTGAATAACATCAGCTGGTAACACTGTAAATTTGGGGAATGCAACTGTAATGTCAAGCACCTGGAGAGCCCAAGGAGGAGCACCATGAAGACTGCAAGTCTCCATGTGAGAGTTTCATTGCTGCTGAAGGCTGCTGGTGAGCACTGGAGACAACCATTGTATTTATATGCTGCACTCATGAGCATCTTTGTTAAAGGAACAGCCAGCAGTTACAACTGCTGTATCATCAGCCGATCTGCTGATAAGGCAACAACAAATGTTTTGGCATTGGCAGGCTTGCGGTCATCTCAAGATGTTCTTTTCCCCTTTTCAGACGATTGCTACATCCAGCTGCCCCTCTGTAAACACTCTGCAGTACTTGCTATGTTGAGGATACCCCAGACTTCGTAGCAGCTAAATCATATCAAAAAAGGGAGGGAAGGCTCATCAGTTGCACCAATTCAAGAGTAACATTGCTTTGTCTTGGACTGGTGGATTACAGCAGGAGGAAGGAAGTAAAGAGTCAGGAACTTGTAGCTGAGTTTGTTTCCCATCTGGTGACCAAACCATAGGGAGTAGAAGTGGGTGTGTGCCTGGGTGTAGCAATCCTGTTTCGTAAGGATACTCGTCTTCTACTCCCTCCTCCCTTCTGTATAAACACCACATGCTAGTTTCCCTGGGCTTCTCTGTCTGGAAATATGTGTAATCTAGAAGATTTGGAAACATTGCTGGAGTACAAGCACATTAAAACTTGAGCTCTTGCCTTTTCCATTCAGATGGAGATGTTAATGTGGGAATTCATGCCTCATGCCACTCTTGAGAGGTGGCAGAAGCCCCCCCTCAGTACTCTGGTTTCTGGTGTTACATTTCCTTCTGCACCAAAGGTTTCTCTACCCCCTTATTTTTCTAACCTTGAGTTCCTCCGATATTGTTTTGGGTTTTTGTTTATGTCTCTGAAGTGGCTGAAGATAGGAGAGATACTTGTCCGCACTGATTTTTTTTATTTTCTCTTCTCTCCCTTCTTTGTCTTGTCTGATATTTCTTACTGTCACTGTATTTCTCCTTCCTCTTCCCCCCCCTCATCTTCCCTGTTTATCTTCTAGTCTCTCTTGCCTCTGTTACTTTATGTTCCCATTCCAGGCTGGTTTCCCTGCGCACCTCCATCGCTCCAGGCCTGGGCTACAAAAGTCTGTTCCCAGAGGCAGCATTTACTTGCAGCAGTATGTGACCTGCTGTGGTCAGCTAATGGGATTGAATGATGACCTTTGCTTCTGCCCCCCAGGCCCATGAAGTACTCCTCCAGTTCTCTCTGGCAGGCAGCAATAGGGTATGTGCCCCTTTCCTGGTTCTCTCCACCCGTTTCCTTTTTTGTGAGCCTGACAGCAGTGAACTGCTGTCCTGGTGTGTAATTTGGGATGGATCTTGAAGGGAACATGGCAGGCTTCAACTCAGTGCAGCTGAGAGTTTGCAAGTCTGTAATAAAACTATGTAACAACTAACCCCAGCTCATGTTGTTTCTTACTTGATTGCCATAGATCAGTCATACACCAGCTGATCCATTTATACATACATTTTTAAATATGTATGTATACTTATGAGACCAGGCATGTGTGCATGCACTCGGATACATGTGTGTCTTTTCTTTCTCAGCCTGCTATGAATGGTAAGGTTCAGTCTTGGAAAACAGTTTATATTCTAATTATAGCTGAGATGAGAGTTGACATTTTTGTTCCTATAACTGGAGGAATTTAGTAAGTTTCCTTTCTAGATACAGCTGTGCACTTTCCAGGAAGAAGGTGGTGGGCTGTTGTATTTACACAATTAGCTGGATTCTAACTTAAAAAGTATACTGAAATTTCTAGGCAGAAGGGGGTTTTTTGGTCACTTTAAGTCAGCTCAGTTCAACTTGTCCTGTACTCCTGATAAAAGCAAGATTTAAAAAAAAAAAAAAAAAAAAAAGACAACTTTAAAAAAGAAAAAGAATAGTTATAATAGTTAATAAAAACTCTGACAGGTTTAAATGTGTGTTAGAAAGCAGGTAGCCTAAATATATATCTAGAATAATACAGCCAGTGAAGACAGATCACTTGTACTGACCCTGACGGTGACATTTCATCTGTTTTAGATATTGACTAATGACTTTAGCTAGTGCATTTTATCTATGTGGCATTGGTTGCACACGAAGCATGATCAGCAGCTGAGGAGGATTGTGGTTGGACTGTCCTGGGCAGCTATCAGAATTGAACAGAAACAGGATGTGAAAGAATCGGATGCTAAAATGATAGTAAAATGTTTGTGCACTTGAAAAACCCTGTTTCTTGGTAGGAGGCTCCAGGCCCTATGAACTACTGGGTACAGGACTGGCAAGGTTCATGTTACCAGCAAGAAGATGTATTTTAAATGGGGATTTTACAGTCTATTAGCTGCTGCTCATTTTCCTCAAGTGTGATTTCATCAGCAAAGCCTCACAGCTGCCTCTGAATAAAACACAGTAAGCAACTTGAATAGCTCCTCAGGACAGGAACTGAAAAAAAAATAATCTCTCAGTTAAAATAATGCAAGTCCATTGTGGAGACTGAATCTAATGAAACCAATGGGAATTTAATCAGGTTTCAGGCCCAAGTAAGTCTGGCTAAGTCCCATTTTCAGGAATGATTTATACCATTGTTACCTGAATCTAGTTGCCATATGGAAAATTTTGGCTTCTACCGATTGAAAAGTACTTTCTTTAGAATCAATCTGCCCACGTAAGTGACTCAGGTTTGCAGTGCTAGATTGAGCTGTGCTGAGGAGCCTTTAAAGACTTGCTGAATGTCTGCATGTCTGTGGAGGTTTATAGAAACCACATTGCATGAGTGTACATGTGTGCTTGTTGCCACAGGAAAGTCTAAATAAAAACTTCTTGCTCCTTTGTGTTATTCTGCCATGAAAGTTAGTCCACTACTACCTTACAAGCCCACAAATGAAGCACAAATAGTAATGAAGGAAACCTTCTGCCTAATGCAATAAATTTCTCCTAAGGTAGGAAAGAAGTGGTCTGTGACGATTTGCCTTCTTTAGAAAGAGGTGAAGGCTGAAATGTTCAGTAAGATCCTTTTTAATCTATTTTTCCATCTATTGGTAGTGAACTGTCATTTAGAATAAGACTGTTCACTTTTTGAGGAAAATTGACTGAACTTAAACATACTTCTTTTACTTACAGTGTTTGCATTTATATGTAAGTGGTTTCAGTTTTTATTTGGTAAATAGTCAAATACTAATTTGTTTTTTGAAGTTGCTCTTTATTTACCCTTAAAAGATACAGTAATAAATTACAAGCACCTAAAAACAGCAGAAATAGCAAGACATAAGCCCACAAATACAATACAACACAATCTAACAAGGTAAGAAAGAATGTCCCTGGCAAAAGCTAAGTGTGTTGTAAAAAAAAACTTTCAGAATTGGCTAATGACCAGAGAACAGCATATCTGGGGACAGCTTAACTCTGTGGTGTCATTTGTCCTGTTGTTTTTCAGGAGATATCTCAGGCTTGTGAACAGTGCCTTCCTGTCACATCTGTTACGTCCTGCTCACCAAGGCAAGTTCCTATCTTGCAGAGTGCCTCAGAATGTCACACAGTGCAGGACATGTTCCTTATTTGCAGTGCCTGTGAATTTAATGACTGTACCCAGAGGAATGCTGTAGGTCTGCCAAATTGAGAAGTCACAAAGGCAACTGAATTGCAGTTTTCAGAGTAACTTTGAGCGTTTCCCATCGGATTTGAACTCTGTCACATGGAGTCTGTGAAAATGATGCTCAGAGCAATGAGAGCAGCAGTTAGAAGCTGTCAGAAGTTGATCAGGACTTCTGTTGCAAATCATAGAATCACAGAAAGGTTTGGGTTGGAATGGACCTTAAAGATCATCTGTTTCCAAACCCCCTGTCATGGGCAGGGACACCTTCCACTAGATCACGTTGCTCAAAGCCCCGTCCAGCCTGGTCTTGAACCCTTCCAGGGATGGGTCACCAGTTTGAGATGTGAGAGTTGTTGGCTCTATAGTTTTATCTCTATGTTCAAAGCTATCACCTAGGGTAACTAAAGTAAAATACGCATTGTCTGCCTGTCTAGCTTTATCTCTACCTCTCCCAAAAGTAATGGGGTTACTTAGGTTGACTCCTGCCTGCTCAGAAGTCATGATGAGATTATTAAAGAAAACTATTTAATTAAATTTACAGAGATAGCCCAAAAATTAAAACACTTCATGTGATTAATATAAAAGTAATTATATAGTAACTGTATAGTCTGATGAGTAGCAGGAGCAGCCATGCAGTCCGAATATATGCAGAGAAACTAGTCAACAGCTGTAACTATTCAGACTGCAAAGGAGATATGAGACACTTTTTTTTTTCTTTTGTCATTTCCTTCACAAAGAAATCAGTGTCTGACTGATTCCCTATTCAGTTACTGGGTCAGAACCTCAGCTCTGTAGGTCAGTGTGGCATCAAGGGGTGACGACAGTTATGTCAATGAAACATCTGGTCTTGTGCCTGTATATTCAGTTTACTGAAAGAACATTAATAAATAGAATATATGAAGTTGCTGATTTTACATGTCAAAAGCATGTTACAGACGTTATCAAAATAGTTGTTTCATTAAGAGGCCTGGGAATAGCTGGTTTAAAAATTAATTGACTATAATGCTTCCAGCTGGGATTTTCAGAAGAGCATAGGGGATTTCAACTTGCAAATCACACTGAGATTCAGGAACAGACTGATTTCTAAATTCCTAAGGGTCCTTCAGAAGTCCCAACCTCAGGAGTTCATAGAGGGGAAAAGTAGTCAGCAATGAAAGAGGCCGATGAGGAGCGTATGTTGATAGGAAAGCCATACTGTTATCAGGAAGGTGTGAGTGTAGCCAGGAGGTTTAGTTTCCCTGAGCAGCTGCCAGTCCAAACTGACTTTGCCTTTCATCTTTTAGCACACGGCCTTGTGCCTCTAAGAACTTCTTCCTGCCAAGCGTGCAAGCACAGGAGCCATAGGGAGCTTCCACTGGAACCAGAACCTGAGGGGGATGACCACAAACACAGAGGTTATTTCTGAGACAGGGGTGTGCCAGCACCATCACAGCAGAAACTGCAGCTATTCTTCTCATAAAATCATGCCCAGGTCCTTTACTTCTCATATGAGCATCAGTGGTAGATCTTGCTGTTACCTCAAGTGAAAGTGGATCTATAACATCCACCTGAAAGAGGGCAAGGGTGGGATAGGATGGCAGCAGAATCACAAGACATATGGAGGGACTAGAGAATAAACAGACTATAGACCATTGATGCAATATGGGATAAACCAGTTTCTCTCTGTCATGTGAGGATAACATAATTTCATCTGGACTCGGCTGTCAGCTAGAGCAGCTGTGGAGGGAGGAGCAAATATATCTCATTCCCCAACATCTTTCACCCTCTGCCTGATCCCAGGCTTATACATTGTCCACTGTTGGACCAATCTGCTTTGGCTCCTAATGGCTACGGAAACGGAAACATCCCCTCACTGCTCCCTTAGAGTGCTGGTCTTCATAGAATCGTAGAATTATTTGGGTTGGAAGTGACCTTAAAGATCATCTAGTCCCAACCCCCCTGACATGGGCAGGGACACCTTCCACTAGACCTCATTGCTCAAAGCCCTGTCCAACCTGGCCTTGTCTTCTGTCCCCTACAGTTAGCCTATAGCTTGGCTAACCTACTTGTAACACCACTGCACCAAGGATGCTCCCTGGCCTCATTAGTGTTGGCAATGGAGCAGGAAAAAAAGCCATAGTGGGCTAGCATTTCACATGACCTGGCTGTGTGAAAGGATGCCATGACATGTTCTGCTTGGTTAAAACCACACAGGTTAACATTATAACTAAAAGTCAAATTCAGTGGAGAAAAGAGGAATAATTTTTCAGGGGTAGTCTCTGTGACAGATCCCTTTGATCTCCAAAGCATTCCACTGTGCTCCTTCAGCTTTTATCAGCAACACAAGAAGACAGTTATCCTTCTTATGTAATTGGCATAAATTTCATTTAGAGGTAAGGTGGAGCTTTCACTGGGGCTGGGGGAGAAAGTTTGCTTCCTTTAACTCTGTTCTATACAGAATTGCTGCTATGCTGTAAGGCTGAGTACTTCTAAACGAATCCAAGGCAAGTCGCATTCAGAGCATTTACTTACTTCTTTGTCATTGGTCAAGCCTAGATTCTTCATATCTACGACGTTATAAAAAGTGTTGTTCAATACGGTTTCTATGACCTGTACCTGAAACCATGAAAATGGATGAGACACTGAATTAGGGCACCTTTTCAGCACACAGCCTGGCAGTCTTTTCACTCACTGTAAAGAAAAGCAATGCAACCCCCACCCCCATATGTACAGTTGATAAAATGCAATCTATTGAACATGTAGACAATATTGCAGCACCTCTTTCACTTTTACTCATGTCCTGCCAAGCACTGAGTGATATTCTCCTCCATTGTGTTCACAGCTGGGGAGCAGCATATGAACTTCTGTGTGTTCATATTTTTTCAGACCATCTAGCTGTGCCACCAAACAGTTTCCAGTCTTAGAACTGCTGGAGGAAACAGTAGGCTCATTTTGGTCTTCTCAGTGGTCCAATTAACATTCATTATTGTTCAAGTAAAACATCAGCAAGAGGAAAGAAGATACCTGTGACACTTTGGAAAGGACAAGCATCTGGATACCGTTGACAGTTTTCTGGTAAGAGGGTGAATATTCCCCACAGTCAGGTGGTCCAGAAAAGGCTTCAAGGATACATTCACGGATTTTGTTCCTAGAGGTAACACAGGTTCTTACAAAACCTTGTATCAGCTGTGTCTGTCTATATCCATAATGTTTTAATGTAGGGGTTTTTTTTTAATTATTTATTTTCTTTGCCTTTTGTGACAAATACATAGCACATGAAATTTTATGGAAGAACAATTTATTTGTCCTGTCACCTCCAAATTCCACTCCCCCAGCTCTATAATTCACCAATAGGTGTTTCGCTAAAAGTATTTAACAAATTAGTTGTTAGTTTGTTCTCCTAAAGTGTTCTGTGCTGAACACTGAACTGTCCATTTAAATACTGCCCATTGATGCACCATGAGAGAGAGGAGTACCCGCCAAGAAGTGCCTCTCACCCCTCCTAACAAGTGCTTAGCACCACTGTTGTGATCTGTGAGAGTAGCTGGTGCACAACTGTAGATTTGGCCCTCACACCTGCTGTATTGTATAGAGGATCTTTGGGATCATAGATTAGGTAATAAATATTATTTGATTTGACATATACCATATGCAGTCAAAGTCAAAATCTTTGCATTCTCCATATGACCATTTGCAGAAGAGTTCTCCGCATAAAATCCTGTCGTTCCTTTCAGGAAGAGTGGTGTACTCATCCTTATAGAAGCCTTCAAATCCAGACTGTGTTGTCTTCATAAGTTTCAGATCTTTAATTCCAGCAAAAACAACCAGAGGACCTGTGATCCAAAAATACAAGACAATAGGAGCTCCTTTTCAGGCAGAGAGAAAGGAACCTCTGGGTGCATACAGAGTGACATCTCCAGAGCCATGAAGCGATCTCTCCAGGATTCACTCGTGTGCTTCTGTTGCAAGCCTAGCACTGATGTTAGCAGAAAGGTAAGAAACAAGACAGAAACTACTGAAACCAGAGCTCAGTCCAGAAAATAGAGAATCCCATCAAGTGACCTGCAGTCAAGGAGGGCTCTCTATCTCACCTCCTTGGAGCTGGGGCATGCTTTGGGTTGGCTCTCACTGCTGTCAGTTCAGACACTAATTGATCTAAAGGGAAATTAAATAGGCTACTAGTGCTGCGGTGTACAGGAGAGGTGTGATGAGCCTTTTCTAACAACACAGACAAGTGTAGAAAATCTCTGTACAAAGACTTGGAGCCTCAGTCAGAAATTCACTTTACATACCCATCCTGTTGTGAGTTCTGCATCTGTAAGAATGAGAGGGCGAAGAGCCAATGCAAATCCCTCCAGTTCAGCTAATTACTAGGAACTGGCACTGATACAGATGCCACCCACAGGTTCAAACTGACAGCGGTTTTGCTCTCAGGCAATATTTATGAAATGTGCTGCTGCATGGGTGGATTATCCTTTTCTAAAGACCAAACAGTTGTGTACTAAACTTTTTCTTCTGACAAACCTTTTGGATGGCATCTAAACAATTTCAAGCGGTCAGTCATCTAGAGCACACCAAACTGATAACTGAAAATTTCACTGACCAGAGCTGCCAATAAAGCACATCCAGAAAAGAGAAACTTCATGGCACACAGACTTACTCAGAGCCTGTACAGATAGTCAGTGGCTGAAACCCAAGCTGCTGTTTCTGTGCTGCTCTTGGTGCTCACACCAGCTAGTTCAAAATTAATCCTTGAATACATCCAGTACATAGTAATCCTGCCTTGGACTGGGAATAACAACAGACTTTATCTTTAAACCATGTCTTTGCAGGAATTTACACTTGAAATAATTTCATTGGGATGGATATTTCTAAATTACATGATTGTTTAGAGGTTTGGTTTTTTTAAACTGCTCTGTCACTGGAAATTATCAAACCTGCATTTTATCTATTTCTTCTCTTGTTTACATTCATTATTGTTTTTGAATGAGTCCAAGGAGGTGTATCTGTAATTTCGGCTACATCCCCCTGTTATGAAAGCTTTGAAAAAAATCTAAAGATACTGTCCTTGGACAGGATATTCTGGGGTGATGAATTCGTTGCTTGGGTATAAGACTGTAATACACGGGTATTAATGTAGTGCAGATACTATCAGTGAACCTGGAGATATATTTATCTCATATTCAAATACATAGCCTTGTTAGAAAGAGCTCCTTGCAGTGAATGATTTACTGAAAGGCTGGCTGTCTGGCTGGCTGTGCAGCAATTGACCTGAAACTTGCACAGGAGAATTTAATGACTCGGCAAAGTTTTTGAGGTGAGCAGCCCATGCTGTGCTTTCAGTTTGTTTTGTGCTTCTGCTGTCTTTAGTTATCAAATGTTGACTCCATTAAGTTCCTTACGATGTTTTCAGTTTCCAAAGAACTCTGAACCTTTTATCAGCTGATATAATGGCAAAAAATAAGCCTATAATTCTATTAAGCCTCACTAGGTTTCTTTTAATTATGAGAAAAGCATTAAAAGAGAGGATTAACTGAGAAATACATTTCTGTGTCTGGCTGATAGGTGCATGGGAGGATGCTAATGATAGAGAAGGTTCTCGTATAAGAAAAATAAAAGGGATTTGAAAATCTTCTCTTTGTTTATTGTTCACCTAGGCAGGGAATCCTAAAGAAACAGCTAAAAGGCTACATGAAGGGAAGACTTAAGAAGGAAAGGCAATGTCTTTAGTAAGCCTTAAAGACTTTTTGTTTGTGTAAAACCTGAAATTGCAAAATTTCATGCTGAATTTTCAAGATGATGAAAAGTTTAATTCAATCTGCACATTAAAAGCAGCAGCTTTTCAAGAAAGCATAAACTCTTTTTATTCTTTTTTTCATTCAGGTTTCTTTCTTAACATTTTCCAGAAACCAAAGTCAATACTATTGAGGCTGCCAAAAATACTGCAGTAGTTAACATTACTAGGAAGATTAAAAAAGATTAGGCCAAGAGGCACTGGAGACTTGTACGGGCTCTCCCTTTTCTTTCAATAGGAAGACAGGGACAATGCTCAACTGCAGCTTTTAGAACTTGTGTCCTGTCTGAAAGTGAAACTGGTCTTGCCACTGGTCCTAACCCTGACACTTCAGGAAAATATAGAGAGAGGGTAGGATGGGAAATAGTTCTAAGATACATTAGGACAGTAATAGATAGGTACCGAACTAATGTCTAAAACCTCTAAACCCACTGTGTGAAATGATGTAGTGGTCTCAGCTCAGTTCCCAGTAGTCTGAGAGATGGATTAAATGAAACACCAACACAGTGAGCTTGAATTTATGCTCTTGTGATGAGTCATAGTAAGAAGAGATGATTTTTACACTCTCTTTGGAATGCCAATTTATAGACAGACAGTTGAGCTTGAAAGCCTATGTCTTTTAAGTTCACAAAACTCTTACTGAAGCCAAACAATTGCATTGTTTATGCATGGTGTGCAAAAATAGTAAAAACACTCTGAAGTATTTTCACGTGAAAAATTGTTTGCATATAGACCTGAGAGCTCATGAAGCTTGCAGCAATGAAATTGCATCTTTCTTAGAAATAAAAGCAAGGCATGTTGACAGGGTTTTGAAAATAACTGCAAACTAGGCAATTGGCCTACAGCGTGTGGTTTCATGATACATCTCTACAGCACAATGATAATAATGAGACTGCAGAATATAGTATAATGTAAAAAAAAGTAGGCAGACTGTTCTCAGAAGGCTATTAAATCCTGTGACAGTATATAGCAGTTCTGCTGGATGTGCTGTTGTAACCATTATACGTTTAGGATATACATACAAATGAGAGCTACAGTAGTTCTTCAGCCATGTCTCAGAGATCAAGAACTGCGAAACTAGAATATAAAAGTATTCTTTGTTTTAGACCTCTGGAGTGATTTGGCTGTGCTGTAAGCCCTGCAACGCCTTTAGGTATCTCTAAAGCCATCTTCATCTCTCATCGGTGGAAATATTTACAGAGAAGTAGGGGAAGTTGCAAATTCTTTTCTCACCATTTCGACATTGCTCAGCTTCACAAAAGCGGATGCCATCAGGAACGCATATGAATGAGTGGATGTGGGGAACGCCATTCTGCAATTTAGAGCAGACATGTAAGTAAAAGTGCAGTAAATACTATCTTAACTTGAAAACAGGAAATAAGAGACAAATGGCTCCATTAAAACAAACTGAATGTATTAGTATTGTAGATACCTCATGTAGACGTTGCCATGGTACTTCTTGAACGTAGGTTTTGACGTATGCCACTTGGCAAAATGTTGTCATGAAGTGTTTGCAGATATCTATAGCAAATTGTTCCAAAGTTGAGATCTAAGACAGCAAACAGTATTATTAGAAAGAAGCAATTACCTCATACAAAAATAGATTGTTCTGATTGTTGTAAATATTTGGGAAGGATCAATGTTGTTAGAAATACAGATTTCTCTCATTTCTGGTTTTGTGCACTGTGCCTAGTCATTTGATCAGCTTGCAGCATACTCTGCAAATAGCAGCTACAGGGTCATGTCAGAAATCCCCCATTCTGTGGTATAGCAAACTGCAGTCCTTGGTCTGAGAGAAACTGCTACAGAAGCCTTACACTTTGAGGATATAATGCTGAAATAATCATAGTGATATTCTGATTAAGCTTTACTGGCTAAAGATGGGATTTCATTACTGAGACTGACAATTTATGCTACAGATTGTCACTGTGATAGATGCAACTGAGGGAGGTAAGAACGCAGTTAACAGAATTAAGAGGAGTCTCACATACTTTGAGGCCTTCTGTTTAAAAATGCTATATAGGAATAATACAGTATTATGTGCTATTAAATTAAATTAAAAAAAAAAAAAAAAAAAAAAGATGACTCTCATATGATAGATCTACAAAAAAAGGCTCTGGAAAATTCTCTCCTAAATCACTGAAGGTGACTTTAGTGCTGATCTCACATGCTGATGGGGGAGAGATTATTTTGATGCATTTTGAAAATAAAGTTAGTATCACAAACACTTCCAAATGAAGTCATAAGAAACAGCTTATTAAAGGCTTATTAAAAAAGTAAAAAATACCCCATTTTTTTTGGCCAACACAAGGACAGTATTCTTTATGGTGTCTGTAGGTATCACAAGAGAGTTGTTTCCCTCCAGGTACTCTTGAGCAGAAGTCAGGCGGAGATGCGTACACACTTCCACTTCTTTAACGAAATGTTTCTTCCCTTCTCTATGAAGGCGAAGGAACTTAATTGTGTTCTTGCCATATTCGCAGTTGAGGACTTCTACATCCTTGATCTGCAGAGAAAATATGTGACAGCTGTAAAGGAACTCAATGGAAGCCTGAGGTACACTCAGTCAATGAAACATAGACAGTGTTTATGGCCTTTTTTTCGGTGGTTACCTGTGATAATGAAAATATTTCCATTATGCATTGCGAAGTCCTAACAGGAAGAAAAAATATCTTAGGAAGTTATTATTACAATAGTAGCAGCTGTGATAGAATTTTAAAAGTTTAAACTTTTATGGAGGGCAGATCATATAATAACAGTGAACTGGTCTCTCTCATTCTTCATCTTTAGATTAGTCCTGACTACACAGACCTCCACCGAGTCTCCCCTCCATCGCCTCTTTCTGCACTCAGACTGTCCCAGTGCAATCAGTCACCACAGGTACAGGGTGCACCCCTGCGCCTCCCTGTCACTCCACCGGGGCTGGCTCTGCCAGGCTGGGCTGTGCCTCTCCAGATACCACTCCTGGTTTTCCCTGGCACCAAGAACAGACTTTCACCACCACCTACTCCTCTGGCTCCCAGATATCACTACCGCTGCCAGGTGTCACGTGTACCATGCGCTGAGCCCTCTCCATTTTCACTCAGAAGCTGGCAAAACATGGTCAGCATCCTGCATGGCAGAACCCCCTGTTAGCAAGGCAATTCTTTGTGAGGAGTGGAAAGGTTGCTTTGTAAGCAGTCAGAAGTCCCAGACAGAAAATGAGAACAGCTAACACATTCCTGGCACATTGTGTGTTTTATTTACCCCCTCTATGCACGTTGCAATTCATGAGAGCAAGAAAAAAAGACAGACCGGGCTGGGCTGGTTGAAAGTGGTTCCTCACAACTGTGTTAGAGCTCTGATCTCCCACCAAAGGCAAAATAAACGAGTCTAAGCAGCAAAATTCAGGTCTTCATCCATACCTTCAAAATCCTGGCTTTCTGGGTTTGTTGATTTTCTTTACTTTAAGCCTATTCAATTTTATCCTGATTCTGTCGAACACACCCAATTTACACATCTATTACAGTGTTGGAAAGGCTATACTACAAAGGAGACAAAATACTGAGAAGGTTGTGAGGGTTTCTGTTATGCTAAAATGCCCAGAGCCTATTGCACAAGACTTTCCCTGAGGCTGAAATATCCCGTATGTGGTATCAACATCTTTTAATGAAAATCATCACCTTTTAATGTAAACATAATGAGGAGGGAGAAAGAATATTTTACACACCAAAATACAAATTGAAGCTTTTTATGTGTGAGTTGCTAAAAGATTATCAGATGTAAAATTGCTCGATTCACACATTGTTCCCAAGAGAAATGCTAATGCACTTAAAAGATAATTAAAAAAATATATTAACTACTTGTAAGTAAATTACTGTGGCTCAGAGATCAGAGCATTTTCTCTGACTGTCAGTCCCTGCGGGCTCAATCCCCACAGACAAATGAAGGCCTCACTGCCAGAGCCACAACCGGGCAGGGCTCCACACCGCACCAGAAACCCTCTTTGCAGGAACAGTGCAAAGGCTGTGCAAGGGCTGGATGGAGAGGTAGTGAGGTGGAAATGATTTGGTTTTGCTTGTCTGAACACCATTTTTTTTTCAGATAGTTGTAAAAAATTCGTACTTCGGTCATGCAGCACTAAAAAGAAAACAAAAAGGGTTTCGGTATCTTCAGCCTTTTTTTTTTTTTTCTTTTTTTTTAAAGCAGAATACCCTGAATATTCTAGATAGTCAAAATACTACTTCCTAAAATACAAGAGTAAGTTTTCCCAAAACCATAACTTGACAACTGTCATTTTGCCATTTTGTTGCCCAAAGAAAGTGTGAGCAGTTTCCAGCTGCTCCCAGGAGCCTTGGCCCCACTGACGACAGCCGTCCGTCCCTGCGGCGGGAGCTCGACTCCCCAGGCTGATTCAGCCGTTGCCGCCAGCCACCCAGGGTGTGTTACTGCCTCACACAGCAGGAGCTGACAGTTAATGCAACACAACTTCTCCTTTTAGAGCCTACTCAGTGCTCGCCCTGTGCTGCCGAGAAACCAAAATGCCTGCGGGATCTGCACCGTGTCACCTTGCTGTGCTATTGCTTCTTTCCTCCACGCCCCTGTGGGCAGCTGAGATTTCCTGCAGGAATGAAGATGGGGAGATGGTCGATTGGTAAGTAAATACCACGCAGGGGAGAAACTCTGGGTGAGTAAATAACACTTGAGATTAAACCGTGTCAAGTAGGTGGATCACGGAGAAGTAATACATAGCAATCACTGTTTTACTCCTGTTAGCCTGTGAGTAGTAGCTGAATTTTGCATTTGGAAAACCTAGCACAAGTTACTGAAATGTGATTTTGTTTCACTGAACCAACCACCCTACTGCATTATGACTAACCGCAAAATAATCACCGTTTTACACAGCATTCATGTCTCATCATCAAAGGGAGTGTAACCTGTGTTCGCGTGCCAAGGCTGCACTCGCCGCCAGCGGCCCCGGGGGTGCCTGGCCTGGGCCAGGGCTCCGGCACGGAGCTCATCTGGCTGAGGGCAAACATCCGTTTCTTGCCCTTAGCCTTGTCGTTCGTACCCCAACGGCAGCGGAGGCTGGGCTGCCCCGGGAGGGGTGTGGGGGAGGCGCGGGACAGGGGCGGCAGTGTGGGAAAGCGCCGTCCACACCTCGTGACTGAAGAGCGGAGGTCCTTCCCCACCGCCGGAGCCGCCAGCACGTTAGAGCTGGTGCCATCCCGCTGCCAGCAGTGAGCCCAAGTTTGGGTATTAAATGATTAATTGGATTAATGCACTTTGAAGATGAAAGACACAAAGTGTAATTACGTAATAGCCAGCCCACGCTTAAAAAGTGAAACAAGAGCTCTTAAAGAGCACAGAAGCCTCCCAAAGATAAATATCAACCAGTTTCAAAATAAAAGTGTCTTTCTCATGGAACAGTGATTAGTTTGGATACAAGTGATAAAGGAGTAGGTGCTATTCTTGCACATCCCTTCCCTTGCCCACAGAGCTAGCTGCAGGGAAGGCAGGAGCTTCTCACACTGCAGGCAGGCTATTCAAGGAGCATAAAGCCAGCTTTGCTCTGTATTAGCGTAGCATCAAACATATGAGGTTCCAGTCCATCCCTGTGACTTGTCACCCTTGCCAAGTCCCTTCTGAATAATGTCATTTTTTCAGGAATCGGACTCTTAGTTGGTGCAGCTAGCCAACAACTTAAGAGAAACCTCATTTCTCCACAAACTGCAATTATTCCTTGAGTCTGTTTGTGTTAAAGCTAAACATAAAAAAAAAAAAAAAAACAGATCAAAACACAAACAAAAACAAAAAAACATTTACCATCCATTTCTTAAATGAACATAATTCTTGTGTCCAAATTCTCTGAGAAATTATTTGAAAGCTGTGGCTAGGAGTAAGTCACCTGTGCTTCTGTGTGAACACGAGCAACGTGGGACCCATTCCAGAGGGGAACTGAGGGGTCTGCACAGGCAAAACCGTGTTCCTTTCTGACAAATTTAGCAGGAAGGACAGGGAAGGTTTCCTTTCCAGTGTGCCATGATCAAATGAAAGAGAAGCTTGCCTATCTGCAGGGATCATCCTAGTTTATTGACGAGAAATAGTCAGATTTTTCCTGATTCTGGATTTAGTTGCTGTGAAGCTGATAGGAGAAGCAGAACTGAAACTGCTGAGAAAAGCTTCCTCTTAACCAAAATATGTCAATGCCCTTTCAAACAAACACAGCACTGCAGGTTTTATATTCAGTTAGAAAGAGCTTTATGTGAGTTCTTAGTATTCAGTGGTTTCATCCTGCAATATTCTGTAATTACTCATGTATTCAGACATCTTTTCAGTTGCTGCCGAACTGGAGGAATCACTTGCCTTATCTGACCTGATCCCACCTGTGCTCCCCAGCCGCGCCTGCAGTTCCTACCCACACGCAGTGTCTGGGCTGGCAAAAGTCTCCCCCATGTTTTCATTCCACTCAGGATCTCATCCCACCATCTTCACCTCTCACAGGGGCTACCAGAGCAAATGGCCGTAGGGTGAGCTCTCTTAAGAGGGCACAGACGCTTTCCTTTGTTCATCCAAACTCACTGTATTCTGTGGGAAGCTTTTCATGCAAATAAAAGTCAAAACTCTGCTTTCCAAGAAGTGTTGAGTCAAGGATTGAAGCCACTGATGTCCATTGTTTGGGGTTTTTTTTTGGGGGGTGGTGGTAGAAGAAGTGATTAAGAAGTAAAGATGTGATTACTTGTAGTAAGTTAGTGTTCAGTCACAAGCAATGTGACAATGCTAACCGGGTATAAGCAGATTTGTTTTTCCTTAATTCTCAGGAAAATAACTTTCACTCTGCTCCCACAAATGCCTAAACTCTTGAGAAACTTCCTGTGCACAAATAGCAGTGAAGACTTTTATACAACTTCAGTTGCTAATACACTCAACTGCTTTTCTGGAAAGGGCCAAAACACGTATCCACTGGGAATTGGCAAGCAATTTACTGATAGCTCAACTACTGCCATTTCCGTGAGCATACCTGCTAACATGGATTTGTCAGATTCAAGGCTGTAAACACCCTGAGAGCATAAATTCTTCCAATACATTTCAAAGGAATGTTTGGAAAGGCTTTGTATACTAATTCCTGGATCAGTTCGTACTACTGTAGCTACTGCTGTTCCTCTGCTTTCCAAATCTTCATATCATATAAAGGAATTGTTGTGACGCCTCATGCATGGACAGCTCTCCCCAGACTTGCTATATAGATTTATTTTTTTTCTTCTCTGTGATCTGTCATCAGCAACAATTTCTCCTGAGATATTTAAGGAACATCACTCAGTGGCAATGAAGGCAAACCAGGATCACCAGTGAAGTGTTTCTCTTCTGCTAGTACATGTATGTTTCCCATAGATTAAAAGTTCTTCTAGCAAAATGCTTTCCTGCCACTTCTTACCTGCTTTCAGAGATGCTGGTTTTGACCAATTTAAGACTGTAAATTGGTAGGACAAGGCTGCTCCTCCTGATATACTTGAAGGGTCAAGTACAGTCAGGCTGCATTTTTAGTAAATAGTATAGGATTAAATATAATGCCACTCAGTTCTTACTATTGGCATAAATAACTTACTCAAGTACAGCACTCAAAGAAAGTGGCTCAATTAATTGTATTGCAATTAATCCCATGGACTTGTGCACTGGGAAAACCTGTTTAGTTCATCAGAGACATTAATATGAACTGAGCCATTTACTGACAATATTGACTGCTTTACAATTTTGAAGAGATTTGTGTTTCTGGCTAATGGTTTGCAAATATCCAGTCTGCAACAGTTCAGCAGAGTGTGAGTCTGTTAAGAAAAGTAGGATTGGAACAGCATTATCACACGGCTTTATACTTATTTTGTGGTTTTAATATGTATAAATATAACATGCATTTTTATAATTTTAATACATAATTTTATCTATTTCATATAAAGTTATATAATATAAAAATGTATTGGTAAGAGGGGTCCAGGTTGACCATGAGAATGTCAGACTGAGTTTGGTACCTGAGGTTCTCTACCAGAACCAGGAGCAATAGGGATTTGGTGGCTAAGCAGGACTCCAAACCAGGACCACCTCAAATTCTTTCGGGGTACCAAAACAGCAGTCTGGCCACAGAAACAGCCTCCCTTGCTTGCTAAGAAGCAGAACAAACTTGTATGCAGCAGGTACTGTGCTGCCAAAGTGCTGCTGGTTCCTAAACTTGGTCACTTCCTCCAGGCCGAGAGACATCCACACCACATCTGGTGGCACTGGTCCCCCTCCAGCATAGGCATCCCCAGCTCTTAAATCCTCACGTGGGAAGGAGATACTGATTTACACATTCAAACAGGATGGTTGTAAAAAACAATTGCTCTTCACTGTTGCAGGTTTGCTCTTTACAAGTTGCCAAAACATGCCAAAGGAGAGATTCCTATGCTGGGGCTGGAGTACATGTACATGGACACCCTGGCTCCGCAGTGGCAGCTCGGTAAATACCTCATCAACATGACACAGGGTGCTCTGGGACAAACACTGAAGCAGCTGTACGAGATGTATGAATCTGAGGCAAGTGACATTTAATTATCATTTTATTAGTACACTTACCTGATACTACATGCAAATGAAATTAAACCAGCCAAAATAAGCACTTAGAGGTATGCCTGGACCTGACCAACTAGATCTACTAAAGCAAGTCAAGGGGAGTGTCTTGACAGCTGGGCAGATTATTTGCAGTTTTGGCTACAATTAGAAGTTACCCTTGAACTTCCAATTTCTAGCCAAGCCTTTCACACACTTAAAGTGTTGCCCATCAAAAAAATTAGTGTTGGTACGTAGTCCCTTTGGCAGCTTCTCTGCAATTCATGTTGAACAACATCTGAAGCTGTGACCTCGCTATGAACTCAGACCAGGGCCAGTGGTGACTATTACAGACACTTGTCCCAAGTCCTCCCATGTGCATGTCTTTCATGCTCTGTCTCAAATCAAATCTGGGTTTTGCTCTTCTCCCTGAAATCACTGTAACTGCTTCAGCAGTGATATGCTGCTTGCTAGGCCTTTTTTTCCCTCCACAGTCAGATACCTCATTTATATTTGTGTGAAGTGATTATAAAATACCACAAGATCTGCCTATAGTTATTTTTTTTACCATCTACATAGTATTCTTGGGAGTTTGGGTGTGTCTTTGCATTTCTGCTGTGGGTTAGTGGTGGTAGAGTGTCATTAATTTCTATGTAGAAGAGATTCCCAGAAGGCAGTCAAATACTGGCAACCCAGCAACTGTCCTATTCCAAGTCTTGCTGTAATTGTAATAAACTGTTTACAAACTCAAAGTACATCGGGAGGGGAAGCATCTCCCAATTTCTTTGAAGTTCAGGGAGAATAAGGTGAGGCCATATGCAAGTATTTTGCAAAAAAGCATTAATTTTTTGTCCTTCATAAGAACACTTGTCATGTCTATTTTTCCTCAGCAAACATTTTTATTGGATCTGGTTGCTAAATCAAAAAGTGGCACAAAAAAAAAAAAAAGGAGGGGGAACTTCTTTGCAAGTGAGTGCCCAATAAGCCCATATAAATTGTCTTAGTGAGCATATTCGACCTCTTGAGGAAGGGCTACTGCAACGATTGAGAGAACTTCCACTTTATATTAACCAGGATCCTAATGCTGAGTCTTCAGGTCTATTTTACTGTAACTTCTGCAGAGACTGTGTCAACTCAACTGGGAGAAGGATTAGGCTCATGATGTTCACACAGAGAAGTCCTGAATTCTTTCTTCTGTTCCCATAGAACATGCTTGCATAAATGCCTTCCTTTTACTGAATATCATGTTTCAGAAATGTGTGTTTTTCTGCAGAGGAACAGCATTGCGTATGCAATATACAACGATGAGGTCCCTGAATCAGACTCCAATAGTTGGCAAAGAGGACATACCAAAGGTACAGGGAGAGTCTCAAGCTATTATTTTCTCCTTTATGAAGTTGTGGATAGCATCTATTTGTCTGTTTGTCTATCTGCGTATCTAAAATTCCTGCCTAAAGCAAAACTGGAGAATTATTTGCGTGATGCATGGTTTGTTGTATAGTTATATATGATGCAGCTTCTGGTTTGGTTTTGCTATGCTTGTGCTATGTTGACGAAATCTGAGGGCTTATGGACTCTTTATTCTCAAGAATTAAAACTCATATAGCAACTTTCAGCGAGTGCAGACCACATTGCCCTGAGTCTAATAGCAACAGCAGCACAAGATGTGAAGGGAAAGGCACCCTAAACATAAACCCCTCCAAACTCTCTGGGGCAAGAAACTGTTGTTGAGATCATGGATGTGCTGAAGTATGCAGTTAAAGTAAAGCAAGTCTTTAAATAAGCGTAAACTTCAGTGGAGGTCTGAATGTTCCATTGAGGAAGCAGATGAGGTTTGCCCAGCCTGACTCTGGGATGACCACATTTTGCAGGGCTGTATTTTCAGGCTGCAGCAATGGGGACGACTCAGGAGCTGTGCTGCTCCCCAGAGCACCCTGCTGTGGGGGGAGGCACAGCCCGTCGCTCTGCTGCTTCTCCGCAGAGGAGAATTTGGGCTGTGGAAGAAGACATGGTATTGACAGACTCTGTTTCCCCATACACAGAGAATATGTGAAGGGAAGGAAAATGGGTTGTGGAGAGAGGGTCTCAGCCACTAAATCATCAGACTTTTTGAAGACCAAATTTGAGCAGAGAAAGAAAGGTTTTGAAAAGTGGTTTTTGGTTTTTTTTGTTTGGTTGGGTTTTTTTTTTGTTTTGTTTGTTTGTTTTTTTGTTTTTCCAAAAGAAACATGGTGATAGTTTGAGTTAGGCTATGTTGGAGAGAATTAATGCAATTTTAATACAATATTAGTGTCTCCTATAATCCATTAATCTACTCTGGAGCCAGTTTACTGTAGACATTAACACACTGAACTGTGGTATCTACTGCAGCAAATCCAAAGCAGGACACAGCTCTATCATCTCAGGGCTTTTTCCTTCTTACTTCATTTGCAATAACTTTTTTTTGACAGGATTTCTGCTCTTGGACAAATCCCAAGGCTTCTGGGTGATTCACAGCGTGCCCCTGTTCCCTCCCATCCCTGAGGATGGTTATGGGTACCCAGCTAGTGGGGAGTCCTACGGACAGACAGCCATCTGTATAACCTTCAAATATGACCAGTTCACAGAAATAGGTATGAAAATCATCTCCCTAAGAAAGCCTTTGCCCCACTGCACTTCTCTGACTGCTTTCCTTGAGGCTTTGCCTCAAAAATTGCTTGTTCTTGTCCTTCATTGTCAAATTGGGAAACCAAGTGGGGCCTGGAAACATCATTATTGCCTTCAATTATGCTTATCCAACGATTTCCTGTGGGAAATTCACTTTTCCACTCTATCTCTATCTCCCTGTGGGGACTATTGAGATATTAATAGTCACAAGTGCAAATCGAGGGTAAACTCAGTCCATGCATACAAAATGCTTTGGAATTACCAAGTAGGATGTAAGGCAACCACTGTTTGAGCTGGAGTAGTAGCCTTGACACATCAGAAATATGAAGTATGGAAGAAATATCATCCAGAATTTACCCAGGTACTTTTAGCCACATAAAATACCAATACTAAAAATAAAAAGCCTCAAAATCTATACCTGTAAGATTCAGAACAATCTGACAGTGATATCTGGTACTGGAATCCTGAAAAGGGACTATCAAAAGGCATTACAAGAAGCCATACTGGCATGCTCCTTAACACTTTTCACACTGTTTTTCACTCTTTCCTCAGTTACAAACCTCAAATTATATTAATGAAACATATACGCTCTGCAAATGAACAGGCTGGCCACACCCCAGAGTTATCTAAACCAGGTTCCTGCTTGTGGAAGAGCATGTATGAGTGTGTTTAGGAAAAGGGGACAAGAAAATGAGACACTTACACTAATGCTTTCCCTGCTCCATCCTCCCAGCTTCTGGTAATCTGTGGTTCAGGGATTTCCTGAGCCGGAAAGACTGGAAAGTTCCTGATGGACTGGTCTTCCATGAACTCATCTAATGAGCCCATTTGTTCCCTTCCTCTTTACAATATCCATCGCGAGGACTTCTGCAGTTAAGCTGTGCACTGTACAGAAAAGTAGATTTCTTCTGCAAATTCAAGCCAGACACTGAAAGTTTAGGTTCTCAAACCAAACTAGAGCTTGTGGCAGTTCTGTTTGCATTTGGCTTGGCAACTGTAACTGGCTGGAAACTACTACTGCAAATATGGACAGGCTTGGATTTACACATGCTGTCTGAGCGCTGTGACAGCTTAGAGGTTTGAAGATGAGCATGGCTGGAAGTGGCAGTGGACTGAGACCACCGGTTAACAGTTCTGCTAAGAATAATGAGGTATAAGTGGAAAAACCTGAGCATACTCTCCCAGCCAGTCTACATGCTGCAGGGCCAGTCAGAATACAAAGCAATTAAACATGGTTTTGGTTGCTAAAATAAGATACTTTGACACTGAACTCTTCCAGGAGATAGGCTGTGAAGATTAAGAAGGATTTGTTTACTCTCCTGATTGCTTCTCTTTAACCCACTTTAATACCACATGTGTTCATTTCTTTGGGTTTTTCTCAGATCAACAGATGCTGAGCTATAATCCAGGAATCTACAGCTGTTCCATCCCTAACATCTTTCAAGCTGATCTCCCAAACCTACAGAAGCTCTGTGCAGGGTCCAGGCTGCCCTCGGTCCCCTTGCGCCACCTCTCCAAGCTCCAGTCAGCTCAGGGGGAAACCTTTCTTCACTTTGCAAAGTCACACTTGTTCATAGATGGTAAGAGTACCTATTGCTCTATCTAGGACACATTCTCAAGCAAGAAATAAGCAATTAATATGCTCTTTGGCAATTAGTATTTTCTTTGAGTGGGAAAAAAGAAGTTCAGCTTCAGAAATAAATGCAACAGAAGGCAAGGAATGGTGTCCCATCATAATACTCTCTCAGCCCCACAAAGCAAAAAGCTGTCTGGTCCTTCAAATGCCTTAAGGTGTTCCACAGTGGGGTTTTCAGAAAATTTATTTCCTGTTATTCAACAGTTACAACAAAGAACAAAAACAGGCTTTTAATCATCTGCTTTCTTTTTGTTATGAAGAAGGCTTGAAATTTTTTTTCCTTTCTTTTTCTTCCTGCTGATTGTTTGTAACAGGTTTTTCAGGAGAACGAGGAGAAGCAGAAATTAAATTCTGAAATAAAATTCAAAATAAGGGGAGGGGGCAAAATTCCCTCTGGCTCACTTTATGCATTGGACTTAAATGAGCCCAGTTAAGGTGATGCTTTTCAGTCCCCTCTGAAATGAAGGAACGTTAAAGACTAATTTCCCACACCCTGTGTTATTCCACAGATATCTACGTGGCCTGGATGGCTCAGGAACTGAAAACCGATTTGTTGGCTGAATCCTGGCAGCATTCTGGTCAAAAACTTCCCTCAAATTGCTCTCTCAACTACCACGTCTATAACATAAACCTAATAGGGATGCCATTGAATTCCACCTTTTATTCCATTAACGATCATTCCAAATGGGCTGTTTCAAGGAAATCCAAAGATCAGTGGACCTGCATCGGAGACTTAAACCGCGCTGCCGAGCAAGCTTGGAGAAGTGGTGGGTTCATCTGTACACAGAATGAACACATCTATAAAGCCTTCAGGCATTTGATAATCCACTACAAAAATTGCACCAATACTTTCACATGGATGTAATGAACCGTTCCTCCCAAACAGCACAGCCCCTCATGACATAGAAAGTGTAGGAAATGTCTCTCTTAAACTATATTTTCTCTCTGAAGAATGGCCCTGTGAGTTGCCAGATGTGTCACACCTTCACCTTCTTAGCCATAAAAGCAGGTGGTGTGCAGGTAAATGATGGCTGTTTTTCTCTGGGTGCTGGGCCAGCAGGCTCTGCCTGTGCTGAGCCACGCTCCCTCCGCTCTCTCCTGGCCCTCTGGCCACCAGCGCCGGGCCGGGCCGCTGCTGCACAAGGCTGCCCCAAAGCACCTCACAGGCATCCCTGGGGCAGCCTCTGAGTGACGCCGGACATGGGACAGCAGGGACAACAGAAACCTGCCTTGTTAGCTGGGTTGTCGGGGCTGGGCAGTTAGCAAGAGAAAAAAATACCCCAAAATGCTTCAAAATCGCCCCGTGTTCCAGGCGCTGTTGAGATCAATCACAGCATTTCTGCTCAGTTTGGGCTGAATCTCGTAAGAGCTGACATAATTGGATACAGACAGGGAGATGAGTAGACTTGCAGACAGAAAGCTCTCATTTTACATGATTAATTTTTAGAGAAGAAGTGAGCTTTAAATCATTTGTAACCAATGGCTTGGGAGTATTTCTCGTGCTTTTATTCATATACAGCAATCTTATGAACAAATAAACATGTCCAAAATATGAATAAGCAAAATAAATTAAGAGCGAAAATGGCCTGTTTACAGTCTCCCTCTTCCATCTTTATAGTTATTTGTGGTTGGTTACATGTTTTATAGCTGACAAAGGAAAAATGGAGACAATTAGGAAAAAAAATGAAAAGAGAAGAAAATGTTTGAAGGAAGATGTTATTTCACCTACATTTTCACACTACAACAAATGTGGCTGTTAGTTTTCAATACCTCTGGTCTCAGGCTTAGAACCTGAAGTTTGCATGGACTTGCTATAAAGACAAAGCTAACTTTCAAAATCCTGATATACTCTTGGGTTCAGATTTCAAAAGTGTATCTGTATTTAATATGTTCCTACATTTATTTAAAGGGTTATATCTCAGTTGTATTTTTATTTTCCTCCTGAGTAGCTAATATAAACTCCAGTCTAGAGATCTGGCTTTCTCACTAACATTTCTGTTTTGCTGTGTTCATACTCCATACTACTGATTCTCTACAACAGTGTCTTAAAAGGGAGTAGATATAAAGAAATGCCCCACAACTGCAAGAAGTTGTTGAAGATTTCCGTCCCTTTTCACCCTGAAAAATCAACCAAACAACAAAGCGTATGAAGTACCAAACAAACTAATTTCAGAAAACATTTGTGAATACTTCGTGAAGAAATAAGAAGAATGTATCTGGCATGCTTAATGAGGAGAATTGTGCAGGAGAAGATTTCCTATTTAGTCAGTCTGGATTAAAGGCAAACCCAAGTCTCATAGCTCTGGGAAAATAATGTAGATAGCTTAGATATTCTGCACCAAATAAGTCTTTTTCTTTTCCCTGAGTATGACCAAATAACATTTGATAAATAATTTGTTTGACAATGTTTTTTCTCTGATGCTTGTCAAATTGTTTTACGTATATACTTTTAGTTGTTTTACTAGCAGTGGTCAAGCAACACCTATTTGTGGCAGTGAAAATTGCCAGTGACACACAACACTGAGCAGTGGGATGGTAGGGCATCACTCTGATAAGCCAAGACAAAATGAATTTCTTTGCCCACCTTTTTGTGGCAGACACTAGCCCAACCTGTCTGACTGAACTTGTCCGTCTCGCCCAGAGCTTTGCATATGCAGGACCTTGGTGTACAGGAATGGCAAGCCCGTCACTGGAGACAGTGCGGGTGAGGTTCACCATGGTGCATCAGAGGGCACCTGGACCTGTCACACAACCTGCATTTCTTACGGTAGATGCTCAGCCACAGCATTTGGGTCACAGAGTTCAATAGTAAAGAGACTCCATCCACCGGCTGTCACAGAGGTGTTGCCACAGCCCTCCTCCCCAGGCTAAAAGTCAACAGTCCATCACTTGACTTTAAGTGCTAATTGCTATTCTTCATTATTTGATCAAATGATAGCTGTCATAAAGCTTCATAAGACTACTTAAAACATTCCTCTTTCATTATACCCAAGATTGGTAGCCTCCATTTTAGCTGTTACTGAGGAGGCATAAACAGCAGTGGGAAGATGGAAACAGTTGTACCATACAATATTACAAGCACCTAAATAGCCAGGTTGTGCACACACTCATGTCAGTGGTGTAGCAATAAAAAGGCTGCAGTTCTGGTTCCCTCATTTTTTGACTGTAAACAGCTTTAATTCAGTTTTGCTTTCATTGTGTAACTTCCGTATTTGCATATCCTGGTATTTCTACTACACACATTATGAAACATGGGCAGACTCTTTGTTTCCCAGAAGAGACTGATAATCAACAAGGTAAACCATACAGATTTCTAACCGGTTTGTAGTTCTCAGGCTTCCTATGCAAAGGCAAGACCATACGCCACTTACTCCATCTCATATGCCCTCACAGCATGCACTGTGATCAATCATTGGTGTGAAATACTCATTTTTGCATATTTTATATACATATTCATATATTTTTAAATTTTAAAATGTGCTGTTCTTTTTCAAAATGCCAAATGCTCAACAAATATCTGCCTGTCCCTGTGACTCTGTGCTGCCTTTGCTGCCCACTGTGACCCTTTTGACTGGACAGACCTTCTCCTGTGGAAGGACACATCTGGCATTGCCCCTTCTGCAATTTCAGGGGGATTTCAGCAAAGCTGATCCTGCAAAATGGCAGAAGTCTTGGACCCTGGCATGGAGAGGGGAGAAAGCTTGTCTCTCGTCTGGAAACCCAGAGTCTCTCCTCAGCATGCAGGTATGGCTATTCTGCCCCCTGGGCTCTGTTCTAGTTAGACTAAATGAGAACATTTATTATACATTAAAATTGTTTGCTGAGGGAATCGGAGAGGCCAAAAGCAGACATTATTAATCCACTAAACACTACTGTGCTGCAGCCAAGTTTGTAACAAACACAACAGTAGGGATTGTTGTTTGGTATAAATTGCCTTGTAATCATTTCCACAAGCCAAGACTCGGTCCCAGCACGCCTGACAAGCTTGCAAGGGGCAGGAAATGCAAATACAGCCTCTCAAAATACACGCCTGCCACTCGCTCACCCACCAGGACATCTCCTACCCTCACCACAGCCACTGCCACCCCAGAGCAAGGGCAGAACTCTGTCTCCCTGTCACTGATGCTTCTGTAACACTAGTAATTGTGGATCATTAGGGTAGTGGTTTGCTGTGTTGAAAGAGTGCAATTTGACACAGACTTAATGCAAGAGGTCAAAGGATTAGACATTAGCCTCACTAGAAGAAAAGCTTAAAAAAAAAAAAAATTTGAAGGCAAAAAAACTTCAACTGTGTAAAGTTAAATGCCAGCTGGGCAATTACAATACTGGAAAACAAGCACAGGCATTGCAGCCTGAGCCCACTTTACAGGGCAGCCTTTATGGTGGGATTGCTTTCTGGTGTCTCCACAACAACTGAAAATATACTGAGCCCTCACCATGGGAGTGATGAGCAATGTACTGGAGAATTTTTCAAGGACACCTGGGGCTCCATGCCAGCTGTTGGCCAGCAAGTCAAGGGAAGCTTTGGGAGAAATTTCTCTGAACTGGGAACCTTCCTGTCTCCAAGGCCTGCTAATCTATCCTGGCAGTCAGACATGTCATGGAGGTCTGCAGGTGCATTTCTGAACCACAGCAGTCTGCTCCAAACTCTGCTAGATTGCACTTTTTAAAAGTACAGAAGTCCTGTAAAGCCCAGGAGGTTTTGATCATTTTGCTGTCAGTAATACCCATTCTTCCAGCTATCCTTGCAAACCACACATGCTGCTCCCCTCAGCCCATTTTGTGTAGTCTTCTGCTCTCAAAACAGGAGATTTCCAGTAAACACGGCTAAGGTAAGATTCTGTGTCAAACAGGGCTTCCTCAGCTTGCCTGTAGCATGAAGGGAGAGGGTTATTTTTGCAAAGACATATGGGCCTCTCTCATCCCCTTCTCCTGTTTAAATATATACACTCCTGACAGTAATGAAAATCATCATTGTGAGAATTTGTTTTAATGTATCAAAGCATCCTTGGCATTATTAGCATAGTCACATAATTACCCCTGGAGAAACTTACACCTATATGTTAACGCCCATAAATTATTGTGTGGATTTTTTATACCTTTATTTTCAGTTTCTGGGAAAGATACATCACTGGGTACTTAGTATAGTAATTGCTTCAGAACATGCAAGCTGCCTATGCCCTGGGTAAAATGTTGGGAGACAGAGTAGTGCTGGCAGTGTCTTCTAAAAGCTTGGTGTAAGCCAAAGCCTAACTGTGCTCAGAATGTGATGCAAGAATATGATGCACCTCTTTCATTTCACAAGATACTTCTTAAAAGTACAGGAATTTAAAAATGAGAATGTTGATGAATAGAAATTTACATTAGGCAAAGTAGGAAAAAAACCCTTGTAGCAGGAAATAAATTCTTCATAGCACAAGGCTGAGAGCCTGATCTGAAATTTCAAGCTAGGATAACAGTATCAGTGTTTTCTAGACACCGTGATACCCTGAGTAGCCTAGCCATATCTGATACTTTTCTATTTAGATGGAGATACCAGATTAAAGGCCTAATCTGCTGAATTTTCTCATAGGCCTTATGAATTTGGCATGAATGCAGTAAAAGAAACTCAGACATCAGTTGCAGCACTTTCAGATCTTGGCCTCAGATGGGAGCTAGCTCATAATACAACTTTTTAATGCAGGCCCATTGTATGCTTATCTTTCTGTTTCTTCAACTGATTTATCCCAGTATTAAGAGTATTCTATGCATATTTGATATGTTCCTTTTACTCAAGCTGTTAAATACAAAACTTTAGGACTTAAATGTATCTCACTTTTTATAAACATCTGCATTACACTTTTACTCAAGTGATTTTAGTAAATCCTTTTGTTTATTTTTTTCAGTTGAGTTTGTTTGACATTTCTACACAAGGTATCTGGTGACTATTGTGATTCTCCCGTAAGAGGGATAAAAGTAAGGAACATTCTTCCCCCCCTTTGATCCCTTTGCAGCTTGGGAACTGCAAGTTGACATTAAAATATTCAAAGCTTCACCGGAGCAGAACATAGTATTTAATGTTGCCTGCTAGAGTGCTGGCAATTGCTACAAGTGGCTTACTGTAGTACACTTGTATTAGCATTGCCTAATTTATTAATCATATAAATTATGCATGCAAATTATCCAAACGGTTGTGTATCATAATACAGTAACCCAAAATTCTGTCTTCACATGTGTTAATGCCCGCAAATAAGCATGTCACATTTGAGCAGTACAGTTTCCCCATTATATTCTAAAAGCTCACTAAAAGCCTTTTTTTTTTTTTGTTCCTTACTTCTGACTTTCTAAAGTGGCAAAGTATTTATCTCCAAGGATTTTTTGTGTCTGTCTTTTTCCAGGTTTCCTTTTTCAGCTAAGATTTTGCCAGCCAAAAATCAGTATTTCTCTTGCTATACTGCAGTTTTTAAAATTTATTTTTTGCACTGGTATGAGTATGCTCAGCACCACTGTCCACCACTTCATGCTGAGGATTAAAAATGCCCAGCTCAGTACACATTTCAGGAACTGTCTCCTTCCCAGCTCTGAAAGCTGCTCCATTTCATATGC